GCTTTCTTGGGTATATACTTAGGAGTGGAATCACTGGATCCTATGGTCATTCTGTGCTTAACTTTTCAAGGACTGGCCAAACTCAGGGACTTTTAACTCTTATGTGAGGGTTTGCTGTGACCATTATCCCATTGTTCATCGGGGGAACCCAAGTGACTCAACCAAGATGGACTGATTGTCATTATGTCACGGCCGGACAGGATTGCAACTTATGCGATGGCTTCAGAACCACTCGCCTCTCCTCTCTCCTCGTCAAGGGGCAGCACTTGGGGCAGGGTGACTGTATTTGCATTGACCCCATTTTCCACTGGGTGGGACTCGGTCTGGGCTTTTGGAGCAGGAACACTTGGAAGGGTAAAGGGAGGGTAAGGGATAAAACTAAACAGCCTCTTTAGACTCCTTCTCTTGGGCGGGGGGTGCTGGGATCTGGTTTGTTTTTTATTTTTGTTCTGTTTTAAGGTAAATAAAGAAGACATCTGACAGTTTTTATGAAACCTGCCCAGCCCGTGTACAAATTCCCAGCGTGGCCGATTACCAGGTGTGTGACCTTGAGCAAGTCCTGTTACCCCTCTGACCTTCCGTTTTCTTCTCTGTGAAATGGGGATAATCATACCCCTATCTGCTAGGGTCGCTGAGAGGATTTTTTGGTTTTAAGATTTATTTATTTATTTTAGAGAGAGAAGTGTGCATATGCATACAATGGAGCACTGTGGAGGGAGGGGCAGAGGGAGAGGATCCCAAGCAGACTCCCCACTGAGCCTGGAGCCCCACTCGGGGCTCATTGTCACGACCCTGAGATCATGACCTGAGCCAAAATCTAGAGTTGGCGGCTTAACCGACTGAGCCACCCAGGCGCCCCAGTTCCTGCGAGGGTTTAATGAGATAAGCATGTTGAAGACTTAGCATTACACCTGGCAGGCGCTGAGCACTCAAATGGTACTGTTGCTATTATTATTATATTATTATTATTTGGGCCTTCTCTAGCCTTAATATTGTAAGACTTGATGACTTCATGTGTTGTATACCTACACTTTCTGGGGTTACGCTATCAGTTATATAGTTAACAACTATTTGGGTTGTTTTAGTCTGACACATTGTCTTAAACTGGAAGACAAGTAACCATTGATCCTGTAGTGTTTATTTTCTTCCCCTCATCGGCTAAGCCCATGGGTCAGGGTCACTTGTCACTAAAGGTGTCCCGGGAAGGAGGGATCTTCTGCAGGTCTGGACGCAGCCGGAGACTGCACAGGCCACGAAAGACCACACAAGGCCAAGTGGTTCTCTGGTGAGCCAGCCAGCCATATGACTTGAGTTGTTTTTTCCCCTCTGTCTGAAGAGGCTGAGTGAGCTCTGCCCAGCAACTCAGGCCAGATTAGGCCCAAAGGCCCTTGGTGGCTTTTTTTGTTTTTGTGTATTTTTTTCAGGAAGTGAAGAATTTAGAGGGATAAAAGGGGGAAATGACTTTTCAGTGTTGTAAGCTTTGTTGCAATCTGGTTGCTTTATAAAGGAGCTTTGTTTGAATGTGGGACTACCCAGAACTTCGGTGGGGCTCCCCCCGCCACCCCACCAGCAGGAGGAGGAGGAGGAAGAGAACTGACCTGCCTGACATGACCCAGTACCAGGCGAGGAACCCAAGTAGTGAGAGAGACAGGGCCAGAGACATGCTTTCAGGAAGCGTCTGGTCAAGCAGGAGAAACATTCGCTGAACAGGTAAAGAGGAAAATAGGGTAGTTAACAGCTAACCATACCTGCTGAGAAGGAAATAAAGGGGTGATGAGCTAGAGAGGGGGAGGGCCTACTTAGCTGAGGTGGTCAGAGTGGTCTCTCTGAGGTACAGACTTCTGGGCCCAGCAAGAGCACCGGGTGGAGGTGGGCATGACATTGGTGTATTTGAGGAGGGCTCAGGCTGGAGCCTAGAGGAGGAGAGGGGATGAGGTCAGGCAGGCAGGAGCCAGTTCCTGAGGATCTGGTCAGCCCCGGTCAGCAGTTTGACTTTGGACTCAAGTAGGTAGGTTTCTGGAATTACTCACAGCAACTCAGGAAGTGTGATTTGCCTATTTTATCCCACCCCCCCAACCCCAGAAACTGAGGCTCTTAGAAGTTACTGACAAGCTACTGAAACAGAAGGACATTAATGTTGTGACTCTAGATGCAGTGTGTCCGTGTGTTCATTTGACAGATGTGTATTTGATTTAAGACATCCCAGGTGCCATGCTAATTGCCATGGGTGTCAGACCTTGGCTCAACCTTGGGCAAAGTTCTTCTCTGAACTTTCTATATTGCCAAATGAAGGTAACACCCAAGAAGGACCCATGCGGTGAAGTGATGGTGAGGATCACAGAAGCTAAGTATGTAAAGGGTTTGGCATAATCAAGGTGGGTGGCAAATGCTCAGTAAAGTCTAGTTGTTTTTGTTGTTGCTTCCAGAAATGCTGGAAATCTTTTTTGGAGAAATCGTGGCCAAGGAAGATAAACACTCCACATAAGGAGTAGCGTGGTCCATAGGAAGATCCCTCACAGCAAATATGAAATCTTTCTGTACATTGAGTTCATTAGTAAATAACTGGATGTATAGCACAATGTGCCAGGCACTGCTCTAAGCCAGGGGTCTGCAAATTACAACCCATGGGTGAAATCCAGCCTGCCACCTATTTTTATAAATAAAGTTTTATTAGAGCACAATCATGCCCATTCACTTATGGATTATGGCTGCTTTCCCACGACAATGGCAGAGATGAGTAGTTATGACAAGAGACTGAGTGATAATAGTAAGGAAATTGTAAGGTTTGCTGACCTCTTTTCTAAGCAAATAGTAACCATCTAATCCTCAGGATGGTCCTGTCAGGTGGGAACTCCTGTCACCATTTTACAGGTGGGAAAACTGAGGCATGGAATGGTCAACAAGGTAGCAAGTGGACCTGGGATTTGAATCCAGGCAGTGGGCTTTGGAGGCGGTGCTCTTAACCACTCTGTCTGTCTCCTCCTCAGACAGAATCACAGTGATTGCTCCACAGATAGCCCCCTGGATGCTCCACCCACTTGAAAACCGGGAGACTCGGGTTCAGGGCCCAGAGTCACTCCGATTACCCAGTTAGTCACTCCTCTTGAACTCTGCTCATCTGGTCATAAAACCTTGGAACCAGCCAGTCCCTAGGCCCCACCCAGGTGCCAGGTGGTGTGACTCATACAGGTCCTCCCGGTCTGGCAGATGGAGGAGGCTCCCAAGGCCCTTGGATCCTCCCCTCTCAGACTGGGCTTTGGACTCCGAAGAACGAGGCCTCTCTACATTGTCCAATCCAGTAGCTACTAGCCACATGGGGCTATGCAAATATAAATTTAATAAAGTCTGATAAAGTTAAAAATTCATTTCCTTAGTCTCACCAGCCACATTTTAATTGCTCAGTAGCCACATGTGGCTGGTGGTCACCATACTGGACAGTGCAGATATAGAACATTTCTCTCGTTGCAAAAGGACAGTGCAGCGTGACACATGATGCCCTGGCATGGGATATTAGCCATGCCAACCTGTGCAGCTCAAGGACAGAAATAGCCACAGGGCCAGCCAGAGAGATCTTGTTAAATCTGAGTCAGATTATGTCATTCTGCTGCTCAAAACCCCTAATGGCTCCCACCTTACTCGACTAAAAGCCAAAGTCCTCACCATGGCCCACAGATATCTATTTCTCCCCAGAACTCTTACCCCATCACTCTCCTCTCTGTTGACTCTCTTTCAGCCACACTGGCCTCCCTCTTGTTCCTTGAACTCACTGGGCACAGTCCTGCCTCAGGGCCTTTGCACTTGCTTCTCTCTCTCTCCCTTGGATGCTCTCTTCTCCCAGATAGCCACATGGCTCTTTTCCTCCCTTCCTGTAGGCTTTGCTCTAACCCATCCCTGCCTTATTTTTCTCCACACACTCTCAGCATCTGAAATATATTGTTCCTAACTTGTTTACCATTGGTCTCCTCTGGCTAGAATGTTAAGTCCCATGAAGGCAAGGGAACTTGTGTGTCATATTCAAGGCTATGTCCCAGTCTTAGAACAATGCTTGGCTGGCACATAGCAGTTGCTCAGTAAATGTTTTTGAGTGAGCGACTGAATGGATGGATGGATGGGCAGGTGTGTGGCCTTTCCAGGAGGAGGGCAGTGATAAAACTCAGGCCTTGGACCACTTGGTGGAGATGTCCTAGCAGCTTCAACTAGATCCCCTCGACTGTGAACCCTTGGGTTAGGGTTAGGGTTAGGGTGAGCTGTGAGTACAAATTACTTGAGGTATGCCAGTTAGCATCCAAAATAAAAACAATGTCAAAGAATATGAGTAGAAAGAAGTCCAAAAAGTTCTGAAATCAATGTCTACATTGCCTTATTGGTAATCTCACACAGGATGTGCATGAGCCATTTGAGCATTTCTTGAGAAATAACAGCAAAGCACGCTTCTAACAGGGCTTGTTTGTGTGAAATACCTTAAAAAGGAAGGATATAATATACGGTCAACATCCCAGTCATTATTTTTTGCCAGCTTATTTTTTCTCCTTTAAAATTTTTTTTCAATTGTGAAAAAAAAATATCATCCATATAGAAAAGAATAATACTCAGTGCTTAAATTCCTTAAATCTTTTTCTCCCTTTTTGGTGCCCCTGCTTTGCTGGTGTGCTAAACGCATGCTTTGGTCTGCCTGGTAGGTGAGCGAATATTGCCCATACCCCACACACCGGATTCATTCATTCATTCATTCATTCAGCAGGTGTTTATTGAGCATCCACCATGTGTCAAGTTCTGTGCTAGACCCTGGGGACTCAGCAGTGCAGGAGAGAGATGGGCTCCCTGTCCCCGTGAAGATTGCTAGTCCTAAGGGGGGGAGGGAGAGGGTCAGAGACAAGGTGCAACAATTAGGGATGAGTGCAGTGGGGTGGGCACTTGGGAGATAAGACTGAAAGAGTGAGTGAAAGGTCGTTGAGGCAGGAAGCAAGTCTGTAAACCTTCCTCCTCTCTAGAGCCTCGCGCAGAGAAGGGCTCCATGCAATTTGTCAAACAGAACTCATTCCCCCTGCAGCTGGCGAGAGGCCTGAACCAGATGACCCAGAAGGTCCCTTCTTGCCAGGAGTTTCCATGATTCTGCAAGTGGGAAGAAAACCCTGAAGTGAGCCCAGTGCCAAATATGGTTGGGCTAGGTTCTTGGCAGGCACTCGAGGGAGGCTGGTGGTGGTTTTAGTCCCATTTAGATCACAGTTGGCCTGTGCCCACATCCTGGGAGTGTTCGTGCCTATGGATAGGATCTCGTGACCTGTGGAAAGAGCTGCCAAGAAAGTTGGGACCTAAGGATGCTCTCCAGGTTTCCCCTCTGCCCATTCATTCATTCATTCATTCATCCTTCAGATGGAGGGCTCTCCATGAGCAAGACACTGCTTTAAGTCTCAGAGAGACTAACTTTGTCTTTAACCTGGAATAATGCCAGATATCAGAAGTACTTAATGCCCACCTCTGCCCCTGCATCTCCTGTAATTACCCAGTCATCCTCCCACCTAAATAATAATCTCCTAATTGCTGAAATCCAGCTCCAGTGGCCAACAGATTCTAGACATTCCTAGATGGAGGCCCCCCAGTGTCTCAGAAACGCTCCTGCCTCCCATGCAAATGGCCAACAGGCAGCCCACACACTGACCACAGGACTTCATTGGCCATGCTGACAACAATCTCAGCTGGACCCACTCAGGAGAACATCTGACAGTAACTATAATGAGACATTCTTATTCTCTAAGGATGAGAAAAGCAAGGCTCTGAGAGATGATGCAACCTGTCTTTCTAAGAAGGTAGAACCGGGAGTCTGTCTTGACAGCAAAGCCTGGGGCAAGCCGCCATTTCTCTGGGCCCCAGTTTCCCTGTTGAAAAGCCGGGGCCGTGAAGCCTTCCCTGGCTCCCACTGCAGGTTGGCGTGGGAAATCAGGTGATATCATGCTTTGACAGATGTGTGGTGGATGAAAATGAGTGGAGGTGGATCTTTGTGATAGAAATAATGATGCCTGTGTTCAAAGGTATGCTTGTGATTTTTTTTCTCTATTTGAAGATGAAGCACTTCCCAAGAACGTCTGAAGAGGAAAAATCATTGCTCTTCGATGATGGCCATTTTGAAACTACAGTTTTCCACCAGGGACTGTTGTTATGGAACATGAATAGGAGTATATGGAGGAACAGTGAAATAATTTCTATCTTTAGTGTTCACAAAGCACTTTCAAATCCATGGCCCACCGAATCATTTCATGCTGAGGACTTCAGCTTTGGCATTTGGAAGACCCATGATAGGGTCCTCATTCCAACACATACTAGCTGGGTGAGTGGGCAAGGCCCTTCACCTCTCCAAACCTCAGTTTCTTCATCCATAAAATGGGATGATTCTATTTAAAGAGTAGTTCAGAGTATTAAGTGTGGTGACGCATACTGAGTACCTCAAATAGCCTGGCACAAGGTAAGTGCTCAGTAAATCCTAGCTAACATTATTGGTTTTGTTTGTAACGCCACCCTCATGATCATGCTGATGAGGTCCGTGGTATTATATACCCCATTCCTGAGACGAGAAACATGGGACCCAGAGACAGTCCTTGTCTCGCCCGGGGTGGCCCGGCTAGTGGGTGACAAGCCAACCCAGGCTCCAGCTCCCGCCCTTGGTCCCTGACCCTACAGTTGCTGAATATTCAGTTGGTCAGTGCTGCTCCATATTCAAAGACCTTTGTTTGAGGTTAATAAGAGCCCTTTGTTGCTGTCCAGAAGGAGTGGCCTCCAGCCAGGGCCTGGACCCTTTAGCCTCTAGGCCCCCGCCCGCCCCACCCACCACGTTGGCTCTAGGGAGCCGCTGTTACTAATGGAAGTGGATCATACCCGCAGGGTGCGCAGGGGCAGGGAAATGGAAGGTTGAGTGAGATTCGCCGGCAACTGGCAGGGTTCCAGGCGCGTGTCTGTGTGTCATCTGCAGTGAGACAGCTGACCGTTGTGTCTGAACATGCTCATCAGAGAGGCCAACGTTCCAAATCTGCTCTGTCAGACTCCAGCTCAGAGAGCGAGGCCTTGGCTGGTTTCCCCCTCCCCAGCCCTCCCTCCTCCTGTTAGCTGTAAGTACATTTATGGAGCCCACTGCGTGCCAGGGCCTGTGCTGGTTGCCTTTCTCCCCATGTGGTTGCCTTCACTGCTCGTAGGCTGGCCCCTGTGGGTGGGTCCCGTGCTTGGCCAGGCAGCCTCCAGGGTGATCCTTGAAAATGTGGTCAGATCTCGACGGGCTTCGGCTCCGAGCCCTCAGTCCGCACATCCAAGCGTCATACCCAGCCCACAGAGTCTGACTCAGTCTGGCCCCAGGCACCTCTCTAACCTCTGCTTTTCCTTGCTCCCTGTCCCAGTTACCTATTGTTGTTAGCACACTACTCCAAACGTGATGGCTTACCCTGTTTTATTGTTTCTGCTGACTCTGTGCGCCGGGAAATCAGCAGGGCACAGAAGAGATGGTTTGCTCTGCTGCATGTCCTGTCTGTTGGGTCTGCAGCTTCCAGAAGGCCTCTTCGTACCCATGGGGGCACTTCATGAGGATGACCCAAGGGCTGGGGACTGGCTCCATAGCTCACTGGGGTCAGAACCAGAGACTTTGGTTCTCGCTGTCCACTGTTTCCTTGGGTCTCTTCCTTGGACACTTGGGGCCTCTTCCTCTCCACATGGTTGTCCCAGCAACATTGCCAGACTTCTTACACGTCAGCCTTGGGGTCCCAACAGCACAAAAGTGGGAACTTGCAGGCCCTTTTAAGGCTTGAGGCTCGAATTGGCAGAGCAACACTTCTGTTGCAGTCTTGGCTAAAGCAAGTCGCAGATCCAGCCCAGATTCAAGGGGACTGCAGAGGGGCTGGTGTGGCTCATTGGAGGTCGGCAACAACAGAGCCTATGAGGCTCCTGTTCATTCAGTCTCCTCTAGCCACATAGACCTCCATGCTCTTCCTCAAGCATGCCGTACACACCCCTGCCTCAGGGTCTTTGCACTTGCTGTTTCCCTCTCCTGGGATGCTCTTCCCCAAATATCCATAGGGCTCATGCCCTCTAATCAGCCTCAGCTTAAATGCTACTTTGGTACAGAGACCATACCTGACCCACCTTCTCAGAACCGGTGCACTCCGCCTATCACCTGTCTCCTTACCCCACTCTGTTTTTGTTTTCGCACTTATCACCTCCTGGCATAATATTCATCACCTATTTACTGTCTAATCTTCCCCTCCCCCACCTCAAAATATAAGTGCCATGTGAATAGGGCATTTGTTTTGTTCATGGCAGTATCTCTAACTCCAGACCAGACACATGGTGGATATATTTGTTGAATGAATGAGTATTTGAGATAAGGAGACTTATCTCAAAGAAGTTCAGAGGTTTAAGTAACTTTCCCAAAGACACACACACTAATTATCAACAGAGCTAGGATTCAAACCCAAGCAATTTAGCATCTAATATTAAGTCTTAAAAGTTTTGCTGCCTATGGGGGTAACTACTTAGGTAATTATGACTGTTTCCTACTTCCTCTCCCTGTGTCCTGTCTCCATTCAAGGTAGTCTTTCCACAACTAAAATTGGATCAGGCATAAAACCCATCTTGAAGGTAGTGTCCTTCAACTTCAATGGAAGGCCCTTCCTTCTTAGACCACTGCATAAGGCTCAGCAAAACTTGGCCTCCAGCAGTGGCATGATGTAGTAGAGCAAATACAGATTTTTGAGTCAGGCAGACCTGGTTCTGTTTTCAGCGCCCCCACTCACAGGTTAAGCATGAGCTAATTAGTAATGTCATCCATCCATTCATCCATCCATCCATCCATCCCTCCATCCATCTTCCCATCCATCCACCCACACATCCATCTTCCCATCCATCCATCCATCCATCCATCCATCCATCTTCCCATCCATCCACCCACACATCCATCTTCCCATCCATCCATCCATCCATCCATCCATCCATCCATCCATCCAATGAGCATTTATTGAATTCTTCTCTGAATCAAGGATGGTGCTAGGTCCTTGGGTGCAGTGGTGAAGACATCATCACAGTCCCTGCCTTTGGAGAATTTCCAGTCTCCTGGAGGAGACAGATGTACTCACACAGTCACACAAATACATTTATTTACAAATATTATGTATTTATTTACAAATTGTGATGCGCTGTAAAGGACTTAGTGTGTGGCGGGGGAAATGTAACAAGGTACAGGTAATAGTGCAGTGGGGCAGGGCGGTTTCCCTGAGGAAGTGACGTGTGAGTAGGAGCTAATAGGATAAATAGGTGTGGCAAGTTCATTCCAGGCAGAGGGAACAGCATATGCAAAGGCTCTGAGGAGAAGGAAACAGGGCCCATCTACATATCTGAAAGATCCTAAAAAATACGTGGTTGGAGGGCAGAGAGCTTGAGGAACTGCAGACACAGACAAGCATCCGACTACGCAGAGCTTTTAGGACCTGGGCATGGGATTGGGCAACCCATCAACTTTATTTTCTCATCTGTAAAATGGGACTGATAATAGTACCTACCTCAGTATGTGTGAGCATCTACGGTCAGCTGAGTGACAGCTGGCTGCAGGCTGGCCTCAATGGTCTCAGCTGGGGTGATCGTCCCTGCTCCAATGGTCTTATCCTTCAGCAAGTCAGCTTGGGCTTGTTTACATGGCGGCAGCTGGGATCCAGAGAGCAGCCGAAGCTGGCAAGGCTTAGAACTGGCCAGCATCACTTCCACTGCATTCTGTTGGTCCGAGCAGATCCCACGGCCAGCTCAGATCCATGAGTGCGTGTGAAGCTCTTAACACAGTGCCTGGTGCACGGGAAGTGCTTTGTCAGTGCTATTATTATTGTTGTTGCTGTTGATGGTATCATTATACATTTGCATAATGCTTTATGCTTTTCGGAGTTTTATCCTATACATCATTATAGCCCACACTTTGGGAAGATAGTTGGGGCAAATAGTACTAGTCCCATCTGACAAATGTAGATGAGTTTAGATAACTGGCCGAGGTCACACATTTAGCTGGTGGCTGCATCCAGATACTAGAACTCAGATATCATGTAACCTAAAGCATATTTGCACATGCAGCTGCTGAAAGTGAACCCATTTGCAGATGATGGCATTGTCCTGAGCACCAACCTGGTAAATAGAATAATGAAGGTACAAATGATTTTGTCAGGGGCGCAGAAAAGTGACCGTCTGCATGATTTAGGTAGGCAAAAAAAAGATTTTTTTTCTATTGGCTCCCAAGCTCACTGTGGTTAATGATGGTTCTCTTTTTTTCTTTCTTGCCCAGAGAACCTCTCTTTGGACTCCAGTGGCTTTTCTTCTCCTGTGAATTTCCTTCAAGAATTGCCAAGCTATCGGTCCATTGCACGCAGGAGGACGACCATTCTTTCCCGAGACAAGCAAAGTGGCACTTTGCTGAAGCCGACAGACTCTTACAGCTCCCAGCTGGAGGGAGGAATCACCGAAAACCTCAATAGCCAATCGATTCGGAAGTATGCACTGAACATCTCTGAGAAGCGGAGGCTAAGGTTTGTTCGGTGGCCATCTAGAAGGCATCTGATGTATGTTTTGGGCAGAGGTGTGTTTTATGCATGGAATGCATTTCCTGAAGAGTTCACGTAATTAGAAATGTATTACTTAGGGTCAGCCAAGCTGCAGCAACAAAGTTACCCAAACATGTAGTAGCTCAATGTATTAGAAGTTTATTTCTTGTTCACATAAAAGTCCTGGGTTCAGATCAAGGGGGAACTTTGCAGTGATTCAGGGACCCGGGCTCCTTCCATCTTCTGGCTCTGCAACCCCCCCAGAACCTAATTGTTGTCTGCAGTCCCTCCCTGCTTCGCTTCCCCTCAGCCCCTGCCAACCTCTGATCTACTCTTTGTCTCTAGATTTGCCATTCTGGACATTTCAGGTAAATGGAATCATACAATATGTGACCTTTTATAACTGGCTTCTTTCACTTAGCATGATGTTTTCAAGGTTCATCCAAGTTATGGCATGTATCAGTACATGATAGTCGTTCCTTTTTATGGTTGAATGATATTTCATTGTATGGATGGATATGCCTCGTTCTGTTTGTCCGTTCATCTGTTGGTGGACATTTGAGTTGTTTCCACCTTTTGGCTATTGTGAATAGTGCTGTAATGAACATTTATGTACAAGTTTTTGTTTGGGACCCTGTTTTCAGTTCTTTGGGGGTATCTCCCTAGGCGTGGAATTGCCCAGTCATAATGGTTAATTCTGTGTTTAACGTGTTGAGGAATATCCAGACTGTTTTTCCTAGTGGCCACACCATTGTACATTTCCACCAGCAGTGTATGAGGGCTCCAGGTTTTCCACATCCCCTCGGCTGGGGTTTTATTTGATGCTGAGGCTTGATGACACTTTCCTGATCATTGTCATGATTGTTTTTTAATGCAGGAACATTCAGGAGACCCAAATGAAGTATTTATCTGAGTGGGACCAGTGGAAACGGTATAGCAGCAAGTCTTGGAAGAGGTTCATAGGGAAGGCTCGTGAGATGACCACCCACTTGGAGCTGTGGCGGGAGGACATTCGCAGCATAGAAGGTACCATACCCCCCACGCTGCACATGCTTCTCTGTGGAAGACTTCTGTGCCTGGGGGAACATACAGCTTCGTTTCCTCTAAGCTGTAGATGAAATTTAGCACTTCCTTCCACGATGAATGGGAGCAATGGCACCAGTTAGGATTAGCAGAACCTGTGTCTTCATCCCCAGGAAATCAGATATTTTCCTATTCCTTCCAGTTGTATTATCTTGGAATATCACTTGTGCTCATCACTACTTTGAAATTGCAGCAGGGAATCTGTAAGATCGGCCACTAGGTCTTGTTATTTAATGTGCTAATGAAGAAGCTCGTGTATTATTCTAGCACAGATTTGGTTTTTAGTATTATAACCGTATGTCCATTTGTATTTGGTGCATATATTTTTTTTATTTTTAAGATTTTTTTTTATTTTTTAAGTAATCTCTACACCCAACATGGGGCTTGAACTTACAACCCTGAGATCAAGAGTCCCATGCTGAGGCAGCCAGGTGCCCCTGTATTTGGTGCATTTATTATTTTATTTTATTTTATTTATCATATATATGCAAAATATATGATTCCATTTATTTTTTCCAAATTTTTAATTTAAATTCTAGCTAGTTAACATATAATATTTGGTGCATTTATTTATTTTTTTTTAAAGATTTTATTTATTTATTTGAGAGAGAGAGAGATAGTGAGAGAGAACATGAGTGGGGGAAGGGGAGAGGGAGAGGAAGAAGCAAGACCCCCCGCCCGCTGAGTGGGGACCTCCTCCCGCAATGTGGGGCTTGATTCCAGGACCCTGGGAACATGACCTGAACCGAAGGCAGACACTTAACTGACTGAGCCACTCAGGTGTCCCAAAATTTATTTTCTTTTTTCTTTTTTTTTTTTTGTATTTTTTTTTATTCTTATGTTAATCCCCATACATTACATCATTAGTTTTAGATGAAGTGTTCCATGATTCATTGTTTGTGCACAACACCCAGTGCTCCATGCAGAATGTGCCCTCCTCAATACCCACCACCAGGCTAACCCATCCTCCCACCCCCAAAATTTATTTTCTTATACTCTGGAGACTGGAAGTTCAAGGCCAGGCTGCCTTCTCACTGTGTCTTTACATGACCTCAACTTTGTGCACTCTTGGGGAAAGAGGGAGAAAGGGGGGGGGGCTCGAGTTCTGATGCCCCTTCTGGTAAGGCCACTAAATCCCAGCATGGGGACCCACTCTTACGACCTCATCTAACCCTAATCACCTCCCAAAGGCCCCACCTCAAAAGACCATCACATTCGGGGTTAGTGCTTCAGCATGTGAATTTGGGGCAGGGGGTGGGGAGCAGAGGATACAATTCAGTCCGTAGCGAGTATATAGAAACTGGAAGTTGTGCCAAAATATAAAATTAGGAAAAAACATTGGGACATTTGGCTGACATAGCAGAGCTGGGGGGAAATACCTCTTTTTTTTTTTTTTTTAAAGATTTTATTTATTTATTTGAGACAGAGAGAATGAGAGAGAGAGAGCACATGAGAGGGGGGAGGGTCAGAGGGAGAAGCAGGCTCCCTGCCGAGCAGGGAGCCCGATGCGGGACTCAATCCCGGGACTCCAGGATCATGACCTGAGCCGAAGGCAGTCGCTTAACCAACTGAGCCACCCAGGCGCCCCTGGGGGGAAATACCTCTTAGGATGACATAGTTTCTATCATAAAGCAAAAACTATTTACAAACAACTCCTCAAATCTGCTAAAGTGGGGATTTTGTCAAGTTTGTAGGGGATGTGGCAGGGTGAATGGAAGAAATGCTGTCATTATTACTATTTTAAGACCTATAAAATACTCGGGCCACCTGGGTGGCTCAGCCAGTTAAGCGTCTGCCTTCGGCTCAGGTCATGATCTCAGGGTCCTGGGGTCAAGTCCCGCATCGGGCTCCCTGCTCAGCAGGGAGTCTGCTTCTCCCTCTCCCTCTGTCCCTCCCTGCCACTCATGCGCGCACTCTCTCTCACTCAAATAAATAAATAAATGAAATTTTTATGAAAAAAAAACTATAAAATACTCTTGATAACTTATTCAATGAAATACCTTTTTAAATTGTTGTTTTATTGGGGGAATGTAAATGCAATCACAAGGGGCTTCATAGGCTCACTTAAAACTTAACCATCTAGGGGCGCCTGGTTGGCTCAGTCGTTGGGCGCCTGCCTTCGGCTCAGGTCATGATCCCAGGGTCCTGGGATCGAGCCCTGCGTCGGGCTCCCTGCTCAGCGGGAAGTCTGCTTCTCCCTCTCCCACTCACCCTACTTGTGTTCCCTCTCTCTCTGTGTCTCTCTCTGTCAAATAAATAAATAAAATCTTAAAAAAAAAAAAAACTTAACCATCTAGTTGTACTTTTTCTGAGTTCTGAGCACAGCATCGTGTTTGGAGCCAAATAATAAAAGCTAACCCCGATTGAGCTTTTTTTTTTTTAAAAAAAGATTTTATTTATTTATTTGACAGAGACACAGTGAGAGAGGGAACACAAGTAATAGGAGTGGGAGAGGGAGAAGCAGGCTCCCCATGGAGCAGAGAGCCCAATGCAGGGCTCGATCCCAGGACCCTGGGATCATGACCTGAGCTGAAGGCAGATACTTAACAACTGAGCCACCCAGACGCCCCCCGATTGAGCTTTTACTGTGAGTGGGGCATTGTGTTAAACATTTTCCTCATATTGAACATTTCATATAGGGATCATTTGCATGGCTCAGAGAGGTTAAAATACTTTTCCAAAGTACCCTCAGCTAGGATGAAGCAGACCCAGGATTTGAAGGATTTGATCCAGGCCGTCAAGCTTCTAAGCCCAGGGGTTCAGTCACCATGCCCCAGCTTCCTTTCTCGTTTAGTGGTGGCCTTTCTGGAGGTTTTGTTCAGAACGTGGCTTGTGAGAATTCAGGAAGAGATTCATACATTTAGGCTCAGTTACAAAAGCACTGCTGCAATTCAGTGGGGAAAGGGTAGTCTTTTCAGTAAATGGTACTGAGTCAATTCGATATTCATATAAGGAAAGATGAATATTGAGTCCTGCCTCACACCATTGTCAAGTAGTTAATTCAAGGTCGAATGTAGATTTAGAAAGGAGAACCTTAAAGCCAACAGTAGAAAAACAAAATATTTCTTCCTCCTTCCCCCACCAAGATCACTCCAACTTCAGCTTTCTGGCTGATTGGATCTACTGTGGGTAATGCATGTGTAGGTCAATACTCTTGGTCACTGATGTCTGGATTTCTTTTTTCCAGGGAAATTTGGCACTGGGATTCAGTCCTATTTCTCCTTCTTGCGGTTTCTGGTGTTGCTGAATTTGGTGATATTTCTGATCATCTTTATGCTGGTTTTGCTCCCAGTCTTGCTCACCAAGTACAACATCACCAACAGCACTTTTGTGCTCATTCCGTCCAAAGACACGGGTGAGTCTAAGGCCTGGTTTGCTGTGAGAATGTTCTTGTCACTCTGTATGTATCTACAGTGCTTCCTTCTCTGGAAATCTTTGTATTCTAGTTGCGGGTGCCTGCATCAGGATGGGCTCAGTTATGCTGCAGAAACAAATGACCCCATAACTCTTAGCACCTAATAACCACAAAAGGTTCTTTCTCACTCCTAGTACATGTCCATCACTGTTTGGTGGTGGCTTTGTTCCATATTGTCTTCACTCTGGAGCCCAGGCTGATGGAGCAGCCTCTCTCTGGACCACTGATGGTCACTACGTCCAAAAGAAAAAGAGCCAGTGCAAACATACTAGCTCCTAAAACTCCTGCCTGGAATGACACCTTTCATTTCTGCCACATCTCATTACCCAAAGCAAGTCACTTGGCCCCTGCTGATTTCAGCAAGACATTTGGGAGGAGCACTGTGGGCTAAGAAAGTGGAAAATTTAGCACATATGATATCACCTACTCCAACTCCAGTAACTTTACTTTGAGACGTTTATCTCTGATAATGAGATAAACTGGCCTCCACCAGTCATGTACCAGACATGGCAAGTGCCATAATTCTCAACATAGGTCCCATCTTTTGGGCATCCTGCGTTGTCAAACAGGGAGAGTTTCTGTCATTCTACAAACATTTATTGATTCCCTTCTAGGTACCAAGCTCTGTGCTAGGGGCCAGAAGTAGGCAAGCTGAGTCAGAGCCTGACTTATGTGAGAATGATAAAATGGCAGAACTGGAATTGGTCTTGGAGAAACTGGTTCAACTCCCTTCTTTAGCAAAGGAACATAGGAAACTAAGGCCCAGAGTAGGGGTGGTAGATTGGGTTATTTTTCTCGATTTGTCACTCCCCTGTAATTGTGACTTGTAGGGCCTCCCACTGTGGGCAGAGGATACTTTCTTCCCCATTGGTATTGCACTTGGCCGTGTGGCTGGTTTTGTCCAATGGAGTATTAGCTTGAAATGGCTTGTGTGGTTGGCTTGCCCATGAGAAGAGCATCACCAGATAACCATTGCCTCAGCCTGGGTCCCAGAATGAAGTCATTTGGTGCAGACCTGAGCCCAGCTGGAAGCGTGGGATCCATCCTAGCTCAGCCTAAATCAGCTCAATGAACTCAAATTGCAGGTCCATGAATGAGAAAATAAACGTTTGGTATGTTCAGTCACTGAGACTTTGTGGTTCTTTGTTACGCAGTAATAGCTCACTGATATAGGGAAAGTGAATTAGCTGTTCAAGAATAAGGTAGTGTCATTAAAATTGGTATTCAAATGATTTCTTGGTTATTTATGCCTATGTAAATATATAGATTGTCTTAATGAAGCTGCGTGTTTATTTATACACATGTAGAGATCTTTTAAAATTGGTCGTACTTACAGTGGAATCACAGTTATATCAATCACATCTTCCAAAACATGTGCAAACATGAACCCCAAACCACAAAATACCCACACAGACAGAAAATGTGCACTGTAACTAGACCCACATACAAAATATATAGAAAAAGACATATATCAATAGATGTGTAGGGAGAATAGCGAGAGGAGAAAATGCTGCTGTACTTGCTCTATTGGGGTTTGCACTGCAAATAGAAAACCACAAATTCACAACATCCATACATAATTAGATGTGACATCTCTAAATGTATATACATGTGCATGCCTATATACACAAATTATGATAGACAAGTTGTAGCGACTGTAAAACTTTTCCACTGATGTTCTTGTTTTTGTTTTTTACAGATGTCCAATGCACAGTATATCCAATAAGTAGCTCTGGACTCATTTACTTTTATAGTTATGTCATAGACTTGCTCTCTGGCACTGTAAGTATTTAACATAATTCCGCATTTGGACCCTCGATAGGCTGCAAATAGGTTAATTTAAAGATCAGGCTCCTGAATGTCTGTGGTGAGAGCCAGGCACAAGAGTTGACACAAATACTAGTAAAAGGAACAGGATTTGCAGTGACCTCATCAGCAAGGATAATGTTCACCCACCTGCTGCTAGAACATATAGGAAACAGGCTTCAGCCACTGGCCATTCCTTAGTCCCTGCCCCCTTTGTACTGTCTTGCAACAAAATACCAAGTTCCCCCAAAGAAAGAAGTTTCAGTGGAAATAAACCCAGAGAGAATTTATTTAATTTCTCAGACACTGTAAAACCTTACATGTCGGGGCCCCAGACCACCCGGCTGAAAGCCATGGCTCTTCCTCCCAGAAATCACACACAAAGACATGCATCATACAGATACGTGCTCATATGTGTGTGTGCACACCACATTTGTACTCGTCCATATACATTCCCTGAAATCCAAAGTCTGTTGTTGTTTTTTTAAAGATTTTATTTATTTATTTGACAGAGAGAGACACAGCGAGAGCAGGAACACAAGCAGGGGGAGTGGGAGAAGGAGAAGCAGGCTCCTCACCGAGCAGGGAACCTGATGCAGGACTCGATCCCAGGACCCTGGGATCATGACCTGAGCTGAAGGCAGACGCTTAACGACTGAGCCACCCAGGTGCCCCGTGCTGTAGGAAGTTTAGCAGCATCCCTGGCCTCTGCCCTCTAGATGCCCATAGCAGCCATAGTTGTGACAATCAAAAATGTCTCCAGACATTGCCACATGTTTCCTGGGGGACAGAATTGCCCCTGGTTAAGAACCACTCCTTTGGATGGGTGCCTGGCTGGGCTCGGTGGGTGGGGCATGTGACTCTTGATCTCAGGGTCGGGAGTTTGAGCTCATGTGGGGTATGGAGCCTATTTAAGAAAAAGAAAAAAAAAGAAGCACTCCTTTAGATGTTTAAAAAATACAAATATATTTTTAAAATCTTTTTTTTTTTTTAGATTTTATTTATTTGACAGACAGAGCATAAGCCGGGGGAGCGGCAGGCAGAGGGAGAGGGAGAAGCAGGCTTCCCACCGAGCAGGGAGCCTGACGTGGGGCTCGATCCCAGGACCCTGGGATCATGACCTGAGCCGAAGGCAGATGCTTAACCACCAGGTGCCCCTAAAGAAATCTTTCTGAAAGTTGCTGGCCTTAAAATGCAATGTCATTGAACCTTTGCTTTTCCAAACGTACAAAGCTTTGAATTTGTCCACTGCATTTGATTTTGAAAAAGTGGTTTTTACATCTCTGAGCTTATGCTTTCCTCAGAGCAATTGAGAGGGACTGCCAGGTGGGTATTAAAATGTCCACCATGCAAAAGAAGAAATGGAAGCTATATAAAACATACGAGGAGGAAAGAAATTCAGTGACTAACCCAAGGTCACTAGTGAAAGAAAAGTGGGATCAGATTCCCATAACTGCTGTTAGCCCCATTTCTGTAGATGACATCCCACAAGAGAAGTTTCTCTTTATGGATCTCTACATACCATAACCTCCTTATAGGAAAAATTGTGGGACACTTAGATGCACTTGATCATAAATGTTCAGTAGACTATATGTGATGAAAGGAGAATAGCCAGAGAGATTAAACACTAGCTTGTCAGGGCACCTGGGTGGCTCATTCGGTTAAGGGTCTGCCTTTGGCTCAGGTTATGATCCCGGGGTCATGGAATCGAGTCCTGCATCAGGCTCCCTGCTCAGCGGGAAGCCTGCTTCTCTCTCTCCCTCTACCCTTCCCACCTGCTCTCTCTCTCTCTTTCTCTCAAATGAATGAATCTTTTTTTTTAAAGATTTCTTTATTTGACAGAGAGAGAGACAGCGAGAGAGGGAACACAAGCAGGGGGAGTGGGAGAGGGAGAAGCAGGCTTCCCGCAGAGCAGGGAGCCCAATTTGGGGCTCCATCCCAGGACCCTGGGATCATGACCTGAGCCGAAGGCAGACACTTAATGACTGAGCCACCCAGGCGCCTCTGAATGAATCTTTAAACACTGGCTTGTCTTTGCTGAAAACAGGTGGGCTCATGATCAAATCAGAAAGATTATTTTCCAGGCCCACTGGATTTTTGCCCTATAATATTTAATTATTTTGAGGGAGATATCGATGACAGCCCTGATACCAACCTGGGGCGATAAAAACTGGTTTCGTGTAGTTGGGCAAGTTTTTATGGCCAGTGTGCCCAGCCTTCAGGAGAATTAAAGGTGGAGTCTTCTGTTTCTACATTTTTCTTCTAATAAAAAATTTACTTTAATACTCAGTATAAGCATATATGGTTATCATAAAAAATACAGAATTTATAGAGTGAAAAGTGAAATTACCTTTCCCCAGAGGCTACCGAACCTTTAGCACTGGCTCATAGCCTTCTCCACCTTTCTCATGTACTTTCTTCGTATGGTCTTGCTTCATATTTTGTATGGGTTTTTCATGGTCTAGCCAGTCCCCTGTTGCTTCCATATTCCCCCTTCATAAACAGTGCTATACGGAACATCTGTGTACTACGTATGCTATACATATATTTCTGCTTTCTGTAGTACTGTCTTCCCACACTCCTAGAATTTTCCCGCTATCCAAGGAGACATGTGAGGTATTCAATTATTCCCTCCCTAAGTAGTCAGGAACTTTTCTGTGCTATATTTTCACATGGGGCACCTTTGGGTTTTTTTGGTTCGGCTTGGTTTTGGTAACAGTTTTATTGATATATGATTCACACAGCATACAATTCACCCATTTAAAGTACAGAATTCAGTGTTTTTTTTACTGTATTCACAGGTAAGTTCTGTCATCGCTAGTCAATCTTAGAACAATTTCATCGCCTTAAAAAATGCTGTACCTTGGGGCGCCTGGGTGGCTCAGTCGTTAAGCGTCTGCCTTCGGCTCAGGTCATGATCCCAGGGTCCTGGGATCGAGCCCCACGTTGGACTCCTGTTCGGCGGGAAGCCTGCTTCTCCCTCTCCCACTCCCCCTGCTTGTGTTCCCTCTCTCGCTGTGTCTCTCTCTGTCAAATAAATAAATAAAATCTTTAAAAAAAAAAAATGCTGTACCTTTTCCATAACCCCTACCAATCCTAACTGGTGCTAAGCAACCATTAATCTACTTTCTGTCTACAAAATGCTTATTCCTGACATTTCATATACACGGAATCCTATAATACATGGTCTTTTGTCTCTGGCTTCTTTCACTTAGCATGTTTTTTTTTTTTTTTTAGTATTTTATTTATTTGAGAGTGAGAACAACAGTGGCAGGCAGAGGGAGAAGCAGGCTCCCCGCTGAGCAGGGAGCCCGATATGGGACTCGATCCCAGGACCCTGGGAATCATGACCTGAGCTGAAGGCAGACGCTTAACTGACTGAGCCACCCAGGTGCCCCGACTTAGCATGTTTTTAAGGTTCATCCATGTTGTGGCATCTTACCAGTCTTTCATTCCTTGTTCTGGTCAAATAAGATTTCATTGTGCAGATATATTGCATTTTGTTTATCCATTCACGGTGGACATTTGGGTGGTTTACACATTTTGGCTATTATGAATAATGCTGCTATGGACATTCATGTGTGAGTTTTTGTTGGGGACAGATCTTTTTAATTCTTTGGGGTATATACCTAGGAGTGGAATCCCTAGGTCAAATGGTGACCCTGTGTGTAACTTTTTGAGGAATTGCCCAACTTTTCCAAAGCGGCTGCACCATTTTACATTCTCACCTGCAGTGTATGAGGGTTCTGATGTCTCCACATTCTTGTCAATACTTGGTATTTACCCTGACTTTTTGATTATAGCCGGCTACTCTAGTTTGTGTGAAGTGGGATCTCTTTGTGGTTTTGATTTGCATTTCCCTAATGAGTAACACGGTGTTGAGCATCTATCTTTTCATATGCTTATTGACCATTGTGTATCTTCTTTTTTTTTTTTAAGATTTTATTTATTTTTTTATTGAGAGAGAAAGTGAGCGCATAAGCAGGGGGAGGGGCAAAGGGAGAGGGAGAGAGAGAATCTCAGATTCTGTGCTGAGCGTGGAGCCCAACATAGGGGCTCGATCTCACCACCCTGAAATCATGACCTGAGCTGAAATCAAGAGTCTGATGCTTAACCCCTAGATCTTTAATTTCTTAAACAATGTTTTCTAGTCTTAAGAATGTAAGATTTACACTTCATATGTTAAATCTATTCCTAAGTATGTTACCCTTTCTGCTGTTGTTGCACATGGAATTGTTTTCTTAATTTCATTTTTGGATCACACACCTCTGTATTTTTTTTTTTTTTTAAAGATTTTATTTATTTGACAGAGAGAGACACAGCAAGAGAGGGAGCACAGGTAGGGGGAGTGGGAGAGGGAGAAGCAGGCTTCCCGCCGAACAGGAGTCCAACGTGGGGCTCGATCCCAGGACCCTGGGATCATGACCTGAGCCGAAGGCAGACGCTTAACGACTGAGCCACCCAGGCGCCCCCACACTTCTGTATTTTTAACGCTCAGGTTTTATCCATGCTTTGTTCCCCAGACACTAGCTGAGCACTCCTTATGACACTGGAATGTGGGTTCCTTGAGGCAGAGACTGGTCTTCTGGTTCCCTGCAGTGAACGTAACCAGTCTGACCTCATGCCTTTGGCTTTGTTTCAGGGTTTCTTGGAGGAGACCTGCCTCTTTTATGGACATTACACCATTGATGGAGTAAAATTTCAGAACTTCACCTATGATCTGCCCCTGGCTTATTTGTTAAGCACAATTGCCTACCTGGCCCTGAGCCTTCTTTGGATAGTGAAAAGGTAAAATTTATCAGGTCATCGCATTCTTTTTGAATTACCCTTGATGGCTGGGGTTTATTGGTGGTCTGTGGACTCTGGGAGCCATTGCCCAAATGATGAGCAGAGTCCAGAGTCCCATAACAGGTATATGAGAAGAAAGGTTTGTGATACGTTGTAGGCCAAGGAGACCTGGAGGTAAGGGAGGCAAGATTTGGGATCTGGAACCACAGCCAAATCATTATTGCGCACATTTTCAGGGCTGTAATGTGACCTCTTTGATCTGGTGTGGTTGCTAATCAGGTCTCTATTGGGTTGTAAGTGGCAGAAACCCAACTCTGACTAACTAGAGTAAAGGGGAATTGAGAGAACCAAGGAAGGGAGGAAACTCCAAATTACAGGAAGGATAAGGATATGGGTATGTCTTCCAAATCACCAAAAGCAAGGGCTCCTTCATCCCTGGTGATTCTCCTGGTGGCAGCTTCCTTATGTAGACTCCCAAGGTCACAGGTTCAGAAATCCTTTTGAAGAGACGTGTTGGCTCTTCATTCAGGTACCCAACTCTGACCCTTCAACGACAGCCAGTAGGTCAAGATCATACGAGAACCTCGTATTTTCCATGGTAGACAGGCGGTTCAGTGGGAGATGCCAATTCCCAAGAAATGAATAGCAAGGAATATTAATTAAATTTTAAAATTTTTATTTAAATTTTAGTTAAATGAATTAAAATTACAAAGTGTGCAACAGCATGGCATCTGGCCTGAACAGGTGCTCACTAAATATTTGGTTATTTTACTATTTAAGTCATTTATTCATTTATCCATCAGCTGGATCGTGGTCATATTACAGTCCAGGCATTCCAGATATAAACGTGGCAAGAAAGCCTGTGTACCTGCCCTCAAGGAATTTTTTTTTTTTAAGATTTTATTTATTTATTTGAGAGAGAGAGAATGAGAGAGAGCAAGCACATGAGAGGGGGGAGGGTTAGAGGGAGAAGCAGGCTCCTTGCTGAGCAGGGAGCCCGATGCGGGACTCGATCCCGGGACTCCAGGATCATGACCTGAGCCGAAGGCAGTCGCCCAACCAACTGAGCCACCCAGGCGCCCTGCCCTCAAGGAATTTAAAATGTAGTCAGGATAAGGGGCTACAGGCAGTAAACACATAATGGCTGCAGATTAGATTCAATGCTGTGAAGAAAATAGACTAACCTGAAGTGAGGGGTCACAACTTTAGAAGGGGTGGTGAGGAATCTTTGGGAGGGATATTTGAGCTGACGCCTGAATGATGGGAAAGAAGCATCCATGAGAAGAGGCAGGGGAAGAATTGACTGAGGAATGGGTAGAGCGGACGTGTAAGTACAAAGGCCCTGAGGCCAGAGAAGTTTGTGAGTTTATGGGACGGGAAAAAAGCCATGGTCATCCCAGCAGCATGGCCGAATGGGAGGAAAGATGGCGTAGTGCAGTCTCTCTAGGCTGTGCTAAAGAGTTTGGATTTTATTCCAACTATGAGAAAAGCCCTTGGATAGATGAAAGGAAATGATTTTCCACCATGAGCTACCTGGGTAGCTGCCACACATATGTAGCATGGTCCAGACTTGCCCCTGTCAAAACGAGTGGAAAATGCAGCCATGTATAGTGTTTTTATATTGTCAACAAAGCCAATCCACGGGCCTGTATTTTGTTGTTCTTCTAAGAAGGGTCATCGTGTTTTGGGGCCAGGTCAGTGGAAGGGTTCAAAATCAACCTGATCCGGAGTGAGGAGCACTTCCAGAGTTACTGCAACAAGATCTTTGCCGGCTGGGACTTCTGCATCACCAACCGCGGCATGGCGGACCTGAAGCACAGCAGCCTGCGGTACGAGCTCCGAGTGAGTGCTGCTGGGTTTTCTCTTGGCGGGGTCCTTGCCCGCCAAGTCGTGCCTTGGAAAGCCAGGGGGCTGCAGCTTGCAGAGGAGCTGGGTGCGGCCCAGGCTGTCTCTAGTGCTTAGCAAGTTTCCCGTGTCGTCTTCAAGAACTTCCCACAGAGGGGGTGCCTGGGTGGCTCAGTCGGTTAAACGTCTGCCTTCGGCTCAGGTCATGATCCCAGGGTCCTGGGATCGAGCCCCGCATCGGGCTCCCTGCTTGGCGGGAAGTCTGCTTCTCCCTCTCCCGCTCCCCTTGCCTGTGTTCCCTCTCTTGCTGTGTCTCTCTCTGTCAAATAAATAAATAAAATCTTAAAAAAAAAGAAAGAACTTTCCACGGAGAACTGTCTCCTGGGGTTGATCACCTTCACCGAAGCATGGAGTTGGTGGACTGGGGATGGGCGGGAGGTGGGCACATGAGGGTGGGTGGGAGGGAATGATGTCTTCCCTCCTTCCCCACCACCTTATACTGTTATTTTTCCACCTGATGAGAACCTGTCATGCATCACTTATACCAGGAGAAACTAGAACTAGGGGGGGATGCTATGATGATAAGGTGGAGTGGAGAGAATAGGAAAAAGTACAAGAGAATTTCCAGATTCATAAGGAGAGAAAGAGGAACAAACGGTATCTTGAACAAACCCACCCAAAAAAGGAGGAGACGATCATAACAAAAGCATAATAAAGTGACATGGAAGGGCTCAAACCAAATGTATTCTTTGTCTAAAGGAATGACACATACTACATCTAAGTAATGCCATGGATAGGTTATGCTTCTGTTTTCACAGTTATTGTGAAGTCTAACTGCAGTCTTTTTTTTTTTTTTTAAAGATTTTATTTACTTGAAAGACAGAGCATGAGTGAGGGGGAACAGCCAAGGGAGAAGGAAAAGCAGACTCCCTGCTGAGCAGGGAGCCCAATGCAGGGCTTGATCCCAGGACCCTGGGATCATGACCTGAGCAGAAGGCAGACTCTTAACTGACTGAGCCACTCAGGCGCCCCTAACTGCAGTCTTAGGAGGTTCTATCTTGACTTAGACCCTTAGTAGACATGAAAGCTAGTTGGGCTTGGTCTGGGAAGATATCTACACAGAGATCATTTTTTTTATTTAAGGAAGGTCTTAAAGATGGATGGATAGGATAGGAGGATGAATCACAGGTTCCACCCCTGAATATCTCTTCACCCCATGCTCACAGATGAGTTTTCTTTGGCCCTCAGGCAGATCTGGAGGAAGAAAGAATACGGCAGAAGATAGCAGAAAGAACATCAGAAGAGACAATACGGATTTACTCTCTGAGACTGTTTTTGAACTGTATTGTTCTGGCCGTTTTAGCCGCGTGCTTTTATGCAATCTACAGAGCGACAATATTCTCACAAGAGCACATGAAAAAAGTAAGTACTCTGTGAAAGCCAGCTTAACTTTTACTCTGGTTGGACATTAGGTATGCCAAGTGCATTACAAGCCTCTGACATAGAGACCGTCATCATTTCTGTTTTATACATAAGGATATCAGTTTGACTGCTATGACAGAGAACTGAAAATCAGAGGTGACCAATTTCTATCTTTTTTTAAAGATTTTATTTATTTATTTATTTGAGAGAGAGAGAGATAGCAAGAGAGAGAGAGCATGAGCAGGGGGGAGAGGGAGAAGCAGGCTCCCTGCTGAGCAGGGAGCCCAATGCGGGGCTCAATCCCAGGACCCTGGGATCATGACCTGAGCCGAAGGCAGACCCTTAACCAACTGAGCCAACCAGGGGCCCCCAATTTCTACTTTTTTTTTTTTTAAAGATTTTATTTATTTATTTGAGAGAGAGAATGAGATAGAGAGAGCATGAGAGTGGGGAGGGTCAGGGGGAGAAGCAGACTCCCTGCTGAGCAGGGCGCCCGATGTGGGACTCGATCCCAGGACTCCAGGATCATGACCTGAGCCGAAGGCAGTCGCTTAACCAACTGAACCACCCAGGCGCCCTCAATTTCTACTTTTAATAAAAATACAGGAGCATCCAAAAAGAGTGTTTGGAATTCCTCCTAGAATCCATAATATTCAAATTCAAGTTTACCTACCTAGATTTAATCCTCAACTCCACTACTTACTAGCTGGGGCTCCAGTTTACCTAAAATAGCAGTGGTTTTAAAAATGTACATTGGGGGGCGCCTGGGTGGCTCAGTTGGTTAAGCGACTGCCTTCGGCTCAGGTCATGATCCTGGAGTCCCGGGATCAAGTCCTGCATCGGGCTCCCTGCTCGGCAGGAAGCCTGCTTCTTCCTCTCCCACTCTCCCTGCTTGTGTTCCTGGTCTCGCTATCTCTCTCTCTGTCAAATAAATAAATAAAATCTTTAAAAAAAAAAAATGTGCATTGGTCTGGTGGCTTTGATTCATGAAATCAATCATTGGAGTGTGGGGGGGGGGAGTCCAGGTTCCTTCCGTCTTGTGGCTCTGCCATCCTTAGGGTACGCCCTTTCCTATATGGTACAAGATAGTTCAGCATGTCCACATTCTAACCAATGGGAAGGAGGTGAAGGGGATGGGAAGATATACCCTTTTCTTCAAGGACAAGACCTTTTAAGTGCTTGCACTTAAAACATCTTCTCACATCCCTTTGGCCAGAATTTAGTCAGATAGCTGTACCTCACTATAAGGGAGGCCAGGAAATAATAGTTTTATCCCAGATAGCCGTATATGTGGCCAAATAGTTTATTACTCTGAAAGGAGAGAATGGCTAGTCCAAATCAATAACTACTATGGCCTTGAAAATACTTTAAATTACCCACAGATACAGACTACATGGATTTTTTTTTTTTAAACTTGACCTTAATTAATCCACTAGAGCTAATTTTTCTTTCTGTGGTACTAGAGCATGATACCTCTATTTGAACATCCAAAGAAGGAAATGGCTTATGTTTATTTTTATTTTTAAAATTTTTTTAGAGAGAGAGTGAGGGACAGAGAGAGAGGGAGAGAGAGAATCCCAAGCAGGCTCCATGCTCAGTGTGTAGCCAGACATGGGGCTCGATCTCATGACTCTGAGATCATGACTTGAGCCAAAATCGAGAGTCAGATAAGCGACTAAGCCACCCAGGCGCCCCAGAAATGGCTTGTGTTTAGACGCCATGTTGAATGACATATATGTTTGTGTTGTTTGTTTATCTAAATATGTATAGTTGAGGTTTTTTTCCAGTTTTATTGAGATATAATTGACATATAACATATAAGGTGTACAATATAATGACTTGACGTACGTATAGTTAAGTTCTTTCAAGGTCAATTCATTTGTGATGTAACTTCCCTTTGATATCTTCATAGGAAATTGACAAGATGGTTTTTGGAGAGAACCTTTTGATATTGTACCTGCCTTCTATTGTGATTACGCTGGCCAATTTTATCACCCCAATGATCTTTGCCAAGATCATCCACTATGAGGATTATTCCCCAGGCTTTGAGATCCGGCTGACAATACTTAGGTAATGCCTAGACATGCCAAGCAGGTCACCACTTGCCCACTTTCCTGCCCATGGCAGACATTGCTAATCAATTGTGGCACCTTTTCCTGTTGAGCCAAGAATCCTCGACAACCTTCAGACAGCCCACATGAATGAATCAGAGTTTGCTTATGCAGTGAAATCTCTTTGACTTAAGCATGTACTCAGTGGTATTATATTTTTGGTTCATGTATTAGCACATCCACAGCTGAGGGCATAAGGTGCGGCCCTGGGATTCCTCGGAAGATGTTAGAAATGACAAGTGTATACCAGCAAGGGAATGAGGAAATGAGAGAGTGAAGGGAAGGTTGTTGATAAAGGGTTTCTTATTGGGGCTGTTGGCAGCTGGGGCTTGGTGCTACCGGACAACTGGGTGTTTGGGTGGGATATATCTTAGTGGGTTCCCACCCACCAAGGTGTCCATCCTGTACTTCATAAAAGTAGCTGGCTCCCAGAGGCATCAATTCCCCCATGCTCCCACCTCGTTACCCCCGTGCATGGGCCTTGGGAGGAGAGGAGAGGAGAGTTACAAGCACTTACACCAGGAACCTGGGGCATCTGCCGGGATAATGAGTGCTAAGAAAGTGGGGCCAGGTCACTGACTTGTTGTAATATCTCTTCTCATTCTAAATAAATACTCAGTTTCTTAAAAAAGAAAGAAAGAGAAAAGAGAAAGAAAGAAAGGACAGCTGTAAAGCAGGGTCTGGGGAGTGAACACGAGTAAGTTGAAGAGGACCAGGTGGGGACTGTGTGATATAGAGCGTTTCATGCCTCAGATGGTATTTGCACTTTTTTTAAAACTTTTTATTTTGGAAAATTTCAAACAGAAACGAAAGGTGTAATAAACCTCCATATGCCCATCACTTAGTTTTGATCATTACCAACAATTTGCTAATCTTGTTTCATCTGTCCCCCCAACACACTTTTGCTGGATTATTTTAAGCAAATCTTTTTTTTTTTTTTAAGATTTTATTTATTTATTTGACAGAGAGAGACAGCGAGAGAGGGAACACAAACTGGGGGAATGGGAGAGGGAGAAGCAGGCTCCCCGCTGAGCAGGGAGCCAGACGTGCGACTCCATCCCAGGACCCTGGGATCATGATCTGAGCCGAAGGCAGACGCTCAACGATTGAGCCACCCAGGCGCCCCTCTTTTCATTTTCTTTCTTTTTTTTTTTTTAAAGATTTTATTTATTTATTTGACAGAGAAAGACACAGCGAGAGAGGGAACACAAATGGGGAGTGGGAGAGGGAGAAGCAGACTCCCCGCTGAGCAGGGAGCCCGATGCGGGACTCGATCCAGGGACTCCAGGATCATGACCTGAGCCGAAGGCAGTCGCTTAACCAACTGAGCCACCCAGGCGCCCCTCTTTTCATTTTCTTAATAGTAACTTTCAAATAGTAGAAGTTTAAAATTTTACTGAAATCCAGTTTATCTTTTTTTTTCTTGGATTATGCCTTTGGTGTCACATCTAAGCAATCTTTGCTTGACTCCAGATTTACAAAGATTTTCTCCTGTGTTTCCTTTTTTTTTTTTTAAGATTTTATTTATTTTTTTGACAGAGAGAGACACAGCGAGAGCAGGAACACAAGCAGGGGGAGTGGGAGAGGGAGAAGCAGGCTTCCTGCCGAGCAGGGAGCCCGATGTGTGGCTCAATCCCAGGACCCTGGGATCATGACCTGAGCCGAAGGCAGATGCGCAACGACTGAGCCACCCAGGTGCCCCTGAAAGATTTTATTTTTAAGTGATGTCTACACCCAGTGTGGGACTGGAACTCACAACCTTGAGATCAAGGGTCACATACTCCCCTGACTGCACCACTCAGGTTAGACATTTAAAAAAATATTTGGGGCCGCCCAGGCGCCCCTAGACATTTTTTTTTTTAAAGATTTTATTTATTTATTCATGAGAGACAGAGAGAGAGAGAGAGAGAGAGAGAGGCAAAGGGAGAAGCAGGCTCCCAAGGAGCAGGGAGCCCGATGCGGGACTTGATCCCAGGACGCTGGGATCATGATCTGAGCCGAAGGCAGACGCTTAACGACTGAGCCACCCAGGTGCCCACCCCTAGACATTTTTAAGTGTACAATTCTGTGGCATTAAGTACATTCCCAGTGCTTTGCCACCAGTGCTGCTATCCATTTCTAGAACATTCTCAGAATCCCAAACAGAAACTCTCTAATTATTTGTGGGTTTGCTTTGGAGCTTTTCTGCTCTCTAGCCTCAGTTCCAAGGAGCCGGCCTGCCCCGAGGCCTCCTCTTCCCACCCCCTCTCCTCACTCTTGCCCCCGCAGGTGTGTCTTTATGCGGCTGGCTACCATCTGTGTGCTGGTATTCACGCTGGGTTCCAAGATTACATCCTGTGATAACTACTCCTGTGAGCTCTGTGGCTACAACCAGAAACTCTACCCGGTGAGCCTGCAGGGGTGGGGGCATCTTGCAGGGGGAGGTCACTGTGGGGTGACAGGCTCAACATCAGGAGAACGGCCCTCAAAGCTATGGGTTTGAATCCCCAGTTGATGCGCTTTCCTGCTGTGTAGCCAAGTCACACAGCAGACACTTCCGTAGGCTTGGAAACCAGAGTCTGTGCTGGAGCTCCACGGAGCGTCCGCTGATGGCCTCCGGAGGCAGCAGGATCTGCGGGTGGACGGGGCACTGGAAGGAGTGTGAGAACCTGGCTTTCTCTGCCCCAAGTTGCCCCTCATTTTCTCTTGATCTCTTTGGTTTCAGTGCTGGGAGACCCAAGTTGGGCAGGAAATGTACAAGCTGATGATCTTTGACCTCATCATCATCTTGGCTGTGACACTTTTTGTGGATTTTCCCAGAAAGTAAGTGTGAGGGATAGCCCTCTGATTTCCGCCTACCCCTCCCAGTCCCTTCCATATCCCCAGTGGAGGCTCCCATCACAGCTGCTCTTCATAAAGTGCTGACACACATCACTGACAACCATCCAGTGACTTTGAGCTGGCTCTCGGCCATTGACCCCATAGTCCATTAGGTGCCCCCTTGAAAGACAGGATGAACCAAAATGGCGCTGCTTTCCATGAAGTTTCCATGGAGATGGCTTCTGACCATTAGCACGCTAACTATCAGGGGAGACCTTCCAGGTTCACACCCCAACACTGCCACTTGCTGGTCATGTGACCTTGGGCAATAAGCTCTGTGCCTGTTTTCCCACCTGTGAAATGGGGATGGTAGCCGTAGCCCCTTCACAGCACAGTTTGAGGATGACGTGAGAAAATGCAGATAAAAGTACTGAGCACTCAACAAAATATTATCTGTCGCTATCATGATTATCATTACCACATTGTCATTGCATTATTATTATTGGCATTTCCTTGAGCCTTAGGTGAAACTGTTTACTTAACCACGTTTTTACCCAGCTGTACAAATTATCCAGGCATATCAGTAGTCCAGTAAGCCCTTAAAAATAAACTTTAAAAAAGAAACTATCCTTTTATTTTTATTTGTCTATTTATTTTTAAAATTTTATTTTATTTATTTATTTATTTATTTTAAAGATTTTATTTATTTATTTGAGAGAGAGAGAGTGAGAGAGATAGAGTGCATGAGAAGGGGTAAGGTCAGAGGGAGAGGCAGACTTCCCACTGAGGAGGGAGCCTGATGCGGGACTCGATCCTGAGACTCCAGGATCATGACCTGAGCCGAAGGCAGTCGCTTAACCAACTGAGCCATCCAGGCGCCCCCAAAATTTATTTATTTTAGAGAGAGAGCGTGTGAGCACACAAGCAGGGGAGGGGCAGAGGTAGAGGAAGAGAATCTCAAGCAGACTTCCCACTGAGCTCAGAGCTGAATGTGGGGCTTGATCTCAGGACCCTGAGATCATGACCTGAGCAGAAACCGAGAGTCAGACACTTTACTGACTGCGCCACCCAGGCAACTCTGTTTTTATTTATTTATTTATTTATTTATTTTAGAGAGAGAGAATGAGAGAGTGGGGGGTGGGGGTTAGGGGAGGGGCAGAGGGAGAGAGAGAATCTTAAGCAGGCTCTGCACCCAGCACGGAGCCTGACATGGGGCTCAATCTCACAACCCTGAGATCATGATCTGAGCCAAAATCAAGAGTCAGATGCTTGACTGGTGCCTCGAAACTCTCCTTTAAAAAACCTATACAAATATGACATGAGTGTGTACTTATTAAAAAACGTTAAATATTTAGAATACAGAAAGAAAAACAGAGGCCTAGAGAATAGTGAGACTTCTCTTTTGTTACCGTCCCCCTAGCTCCCCATTCCCGCCTCATTTTTCAGAGGTGGCCACTGTTAACACTTTGGGGTAGATCCGGCAGTCCTTACAAATAAAAACACATTTACAGAACTACCTATGCAAATAAACACACAGTCTTGCTAGGAGTGTTCATTTTCTCCCTATAAATAGGATCACAGTACATCCACATTGGTCTGCAGCTTGCCTTTTCTTCCCCCCTTCCTTGGACACACAAAATATCATGAACAACTTTCCATATCAGGACACATGTATTTTCCTCATTTATTTTAAGGACTGTATGATATAAGTCCATGCCCTATAATTTGTCATTGTAGCCCCTACTGATGGGCATTTAGGTTGTCTCCAGTGTTTTTGCTAATATGAGACAATCTACAGTGAGCAACTGTGTGTGTTAATCTCAAGCCCCTGGTCCTAGGGTTTCTGCAAGAAGCATGTAGGATTCCAGAAAGTGGTATGCTAGGCAGCAGGGTTCTCATAAGCCATTTTCTGTGTGAATGCACATTACTTTTTGGGCTTAGTGGCAAGCAAGAGGACAGAGACTGTCTGTGTCATTCATTGTCACCACAACCTGGTGAAGTAGGTTGTTATAATTCCCCCACATTCCAGATGAGGAAAACAAACGTCGTCTAACCTTATTTGGCTGCTGAGCTGTAGATCTGAGATTCAGACTCTGGTCTTAATGATTCCGGAGTTCACTGCATTCTGCATCTTCTAGACATGTGACTAACCAGTTTCCAGGAGAAATGTGTGTGGAAACAGCCCTGATTTGGTGGACGTGGTTCTGTGGCCTTGGCAGGCACTGGCAGTCCAGGTGAGAAATTGTCCCCTTTGTTTCCAGGCTCCTGGTGACCTACTGTTCCTCTTGGAAGCTGATTCAGTGCTGGGGACAGCAGGAATTTGCCATTCCTGATAACGTTCTGGGGATCGTCTATGGGCAAACCATTTGCTGGATTGGAGCATTTTTCTCACCTCTTCTCCCTGCAATTGCAACCTTGAAATTCATTATCATCTTTTATGTGAAAGAGGTAAGGAGAGCGGGGTTAGGGGGCTGATATTCTGGACCATTCTTGACCTCACAAGGCATTGGGCAGGTCATGTGTCTGTAGCCCACACACATCCCACGAATCAAAATTACATCCTTTGGGACACCTGGGTGGCTCAGTTGGTTAAGCGTCTGCCTTCGGCTCAGGTCATGTCCCAGGGTCCTGGGATCAAGTCCTGCATCAGGCTCCTTGCTCAGCGGGAAGCCTGTTTCTCCCTCTGCCGCTGCTCCCCCTGCTTATGCTCTCTCTCTCTGACAAATACAGAACCTTTAAAAAAAATTACATCCCTTATTTGGTGTATATTTTTATTCTGGAAAAAAGACTTTGAATGGATTTCCACATCTTTATAATTTTGAGAGTTTTGTTAAGACCTTTTTTTTTGCTCCTGTGATTGAAATGTTTCTGTAAGTCACTGTCCAAGAGGGGAGCCGCAGTTGAGCCATCACATGGCGGTGGCACATTTTGGTGATGTTTCACAAGACGTCTGTTAATTGAGGTTCTATTACTTTTCCGTTTGAATGTTGGAGCCAATGTATTTATTTTCAGGTCTCAAAAGTATTTGCGTAGTTCTTCCAGTGGCTCACAGGCCCCGAGCACTGTGCCTGAACTAAGTGCTTATTGGGTAGAGTGGATGACTAACTGATCTGGGCTTATTAACTGAGCTGCTTTTTTTAAAATTATTATTATGATAGAGGCAATATATGCTCACTATTAAACTATATACAGGGGCGCCTGGGTGGCACAGTCGGTTGAGCGTCTGACTCTTGGTTTTGGCTCAGGTTGTGACCTCAGGGTCACGATATCGAGCCCCACACCCGGCTCCGTGTTCAGTGCAGAGCCTACTTGAGATCCTCTCTCCCTCTGCCCCTCCCCACCGCCCACGTGCTCTCTCGCTCTCTCTCAAAATAAATAAGTAAATCTTTTTTAGAAAACTATAAACTATATACAGATATGCGTGTAGTAACTTCCATCCCTTCTTCTGGAGGTACTCTCTGTTAACAGGGCCCACGCTTACTAATTACCTATTATGCCAAGCCCTGAGGATTTAGAAATGGAAGTAACAATAATAATAAAAGTATTAATAATAATGACAGTAAGGATGGTTGTAAGAATACCACGTGCCTCCACTCTGCTGAACACTTTACACAGGTTATCATGGAATGCTCACACACATCTTTTGAAGTAGGTACTGATGTTAACAGTATTTTGTGAATCAGGAAGCTGAAGTTCAGAGAGGTTAAGTAAGTGGCCCAAGGTCACAGAGCTTATAAGTGACTCCAGATTTACTTCACTCCAGGACCTAAGCTATTTAATCCTTCCGTAAGCAGGGCCTTGGATTGGGCCATACTTCCAACCCAGATGTTTTTTGGCCTTTGAAGAATGTTCTGGTGCTTTCATGTGGAAACTTGAGTTGGTCGAAGGCACCAAAGGAGAGATGGATGTGAGAAAACTTAGAAGAAATTTTTCCTTTTCCAGAAAATATTGGTCACCCAGTGCCTTCCTGGTATGTAGGCTAGCAAAGATGTGTGGGGGTAACAGAATAGGTCATGGGCACTGGGCTGAGTTCTGACACCACAGGCCTGACCAGCCAGCCACCCCCAAACAGGACACCAGGGGGCCCTAGCACTCATTGCTGTTCACCTCACAAGATTTTCCGGCTACTGCAGCAGTCAGAACAGCTTGAGGCCCCTCCCAGTAATGTAGTTTTTAAAAATATTAAGGAGAAATTGTATGCCTGTTACTAGACCCCTCACCCCCTTTCCACTTGATATTTCCACAGGTCTTTTTTGCCTCGATAGAAATATTTGTTTTTATTTTTTATTTTTATATTTTTAAAGATTTTATTTATTTGAGAGAGAGAGAGAAAGCAGGAGGAGGGGCAGAGGGAGAAGCAGACTCCCTGCTGAGCAGGGAACCCGACACGGGGCTCAATCCCAGGACCCCAAGATCACAGCCTGAGCCGACGGCAGATGCTCCACCGACTGAGCCATCCAGGTGCCCCAGAAGTACTTGTTTTTAATACAGAGGAAAAATAAATATGCTTATAAAAAATTCAAACAAAATCTCTCTTAACTCGTTCCTTGTTAGCGTAGATCCATTTAATACATATTTAAACTCCTATAAAGAATACTTTTTAAAAAACATAAATGAGATCATAGGGCATATTTCACAGTGCTATGTGGACGTAGCGCACTCTCACTCTCTCTGAGGGCTCCCTGGTATTGCACTGTGCAGATGCACTTGAACCTTCGCGCAGCCCCTGTTGATTGCTATTTAGGTTGCTTCCAGTTATTCCCAGATACCAGCACCTGCAGCAGTAAACATCCATTTCTATGTATTTTGGCCCCTGTATTCTATTTTCTCATCGGGATGAATTTCCCCAGGGTTGGGGCCTGGATTAATCATGTTTCATTTTGATCTAGATTGCTGACTACCCTCTGGAAAAGTCATACCAGTTTACATTGCCACTGGAATGCATAAATGTGCTCGTTGATCGTCAAGGGAGCTAGACTCTTACTTTTTTCTCATTCTTTCTCTCCCTTTAGATGAGTCTTCTTTATACCTGCAGACCCTCCCCAAGGCAGTTCAGAGCATCCAATTCTAATTTCTTCTTCCTGTTGGTGTTGTTGATTGGGCTGTGTTTGGCCATAATACCTCTGACAATCAGCATGGCACGGTAAATATGACTTTGTTTTCTAGAACATTTGCTTGCTTCTTGGCATGTCCCTCTTTTCTCTTCAAGGGTCCCTTGCATTCTTTATTGGCTTTCCTCATGGGGTTCCACCTGCAGAAGCCAGTAAGTCACTCCTGGTTTGGCCAGGCCCACCTTTGTTTTAGAGTCTCTCTCCGGATGCTAGAATGTCCTGGCCCATTTCCGGAAGTTGGGCTTGCACTGTTGCCGTTGTTTTAAGAGAGTGCCAGTGGGTCTGGCCTGCCCTACTCCTTTTTCCTCGGACTTCTCTTCTAGTCTCCTTTGTTTCTGATTACAAAAATAATACATGCTCACTGTAGAAGACTCGGAGTATCTTCAGTGTGACAAGCACTGTGCTAGGTGCTAGGAGTATAAAGATGATTCAGACATGGCACAAGGAATGTAGAGTCTAGTGTGGAATTTGGTAAGAGCAGAAATGCTTAAGACGAAGGATCAGAAATTGAGGGTTCAAACCCCAGTGATCCTACTCCCTAGGACTATACCATTTATATCAAAGGCAGGCAAACATTTTCTGTAATGGGCAAGCCTAAATATTTAGGCTTTGTGGGCCATATGGTGTCAGTAGCAACTGTTTAACTCTCTTGTGTCATTATGAAAGCAGCCGTAGACAATATACAAACTAATGGGCATGACTGTGTTCCAATAAAACTTTATTTATAAAAAACAGATGGTGGGCCAGATTTGGCCCATGGGCTATATATAATTTACCAATCTCTCTGACTTATATTCTCATGGAATTCCATTTCTTCATCTTTAAATTAAAATTCTTGAACTTTGAATCTGTGTCTCACATCTTATTTTTTAACCAATTTGAGTGTATATATTTTTATTGTTTTTTGTTATAGTGATAGGTATTATATAAAAAGTCAAACAGTACAAAAGGATATAAATTAAAGAGAAAAAATTGCCCCTTATCCTCCCTTCTTGGTCCCATTCTGTCAAGGTAACCACGATTAATATTTTATGACTACTTCCAGAAATTCATATGAACAATGTATTTACTTTTAAAAAAACACATATGGAATAATGCTAAAACCCTGTTTGGCTGCTTATTTTTTCCACTTAATTTTATATTGTGCCCTTTTCATGCCAGCATATACAGAACTGTCATTGTTTTAAAATGTTTTTTGGCTTTGATTTCTTTATATAATAAATACATTCACATGACACAAAATTCAAAAAGCATGAGGATATGATGGAAATTCCTTTTCCAGTCCTGTTTCCCAACTACTTAGTTTCTGTCTGGGAGCCAGTCACTTCACATCTCTGTCTCTTTCAGTTGTTTTTTACTATTCTGTTTTATGAATGGATCATAAATTATTCATTCATTTCCTTAAGCATTAGTTAGGTTGCTTAAGAATGTTTTTTTATCCATAAAGATAGGACTGCAATGGAAAATCTTATACACAGAACTTTGTGATGTGAATGTAGGCAATTCTTTGTAGGCTTTAATTACAAATTTTTTCCCTTGTAATTTTATTTGATTCCCCCCCTTTTTATTTTGAAAAATTTCAAATCTGTAGAAAAGTTTAAAAAAATAGCAACAATGAAGACTCCTATACCCTTCAACTGGATGTCCCAGTTGTTAATATTTTGCTACATTTGTTTTATCTCACTACATACATTTTTTATGTGTGTCATGACCCAATTGAAATTGTTATAGGCATCATGACATACCTAAATAATAACCTCAGACACCCCCATTTTGAGATCTGGGGGTGCACAGAAGATTGGAGCTAAATATTTGAGCATGCAGCTCCTAAAAATAAGAGCATCCTCCTTCCCACACATCCACAGTAACATTATCATATCTAATTAATACATCATATTTCTGCTGTTTTCAGATTTCTCCTATTGTCCCCCAATAGTCTTTTATGGCCTTATTTTAAAAATGAGGATCTTTTGAGTTTTACCCATTGCTTTTGATTGCTGTGTCTCCTTACTCTCCATTAATTTTATTTATTTTAAGTAATCTCTACAGCCAACGTGGGGCTCAAACTCACAACCCTGAGATCAAGAGTTTTATTTTCTTCTGACTGAGCCAGCCAGGGGCTCCTCCTTATTCTCTTTTAATCTTTGATTCTTGAGGGGCGCCTGGCTGGCTCTTGGTGGAGCATATGACTCTTGATCTGGGGGTCCTGAGTTCGAGCCCCATGTTGGGCGCAGAGCCTTTTTTTTTTTTTTAATTAATTAATTTAAAAAAATCTTTGATTCTTTGAAGAGTCCACAATAGTTTCCGCACCTCCAAATTAAGAGACTGGTGAATAAAATCACCACCACATTCTGGATCTGTTTGATTGTTGTCTCATAGTGTCATTTAAATTGCTCTTCTGTGCCAAATTTCCTGTAAACTGGAAGTTTAGTCTAGAGACTAGATGAAGTTTCAGGGTCAGCGTTTTTGGCCAGAATGTTCCAGAAGGCCCGTACGATCAGGCAGTTCCTCTCGGGTCACTGATAACAAGCCTAAGCCCCTGGGTCTATGTCTTGGCAGCATCCCTTCCTCAAAAGCCTGTGGGCCATTCACCAACTTCAACACCACCTGGGAGGTGGTCCCCAAGACAGTGAGCACCTTTCCCAGCTCACTGCAGTCCCTGGTCTATGGCGTCACATCGGAAGCCTTTGCAGTGCCTTTTTTCATGATCATCTGGTGAGTAACAACTGCCTGGACCCTTGCAAGTATTCTCCATTGAGGCACATGGAGCTTTCCCCACTGGGAAATGGGAGCTCACCTGTCACACTCAATAAGTTACCAAACCCCCCTCTCCCTCTGCCCCCTCCCTGCCTGTGTGCTCTCTCTCTCTCCTCACTCTCTCTCTCAAATAAATAAATCAAATATTTAATAAAAAGGGCGGGGCACCTGGGTGGCTGAGTCAGTTAAGCATCTACCTTTGGCTCAGGTCATGAGCCCGGGGTCCTGGGATCGAGCCCCGAGTTGGGCTCCCTGCTCAGCAGGGAGTCGGCTTCTCCCTCTCCCTCTGCTGCTCCCCCTGCTTGTGTGCTCTCTCTCCTACCCTCTCTCTCTTAAATTTAAAAAAACAGTTTCCGAACCTCTGTGAGCCTTACTTTCCCATCTTTAAAATGGGCATCATAATAGTGATTCTTTTTTTTTTTAAGATTTTGTGTATTTATTTATTTAGAGAGAGAGAGAGAAAGCATGCACATGTGAATGGGGGAGGGGCAAAGGGAGAGGGAGAGAATCCCAAACAGACTCTGCGCTGAGCAGGGAGCCTGCCACAGGGCTCGATCTCAACGACCTTGAGACCGTGACCTGAGCTGAAACCAAGAGTTGGAAGCCACTGGGAGGCTCCATAATAGTGACCCGTTAAGAGAGTCATTGAGTGGGTTCGGTAAGATCCCACAGCTAAAGCAGTTAGCCTAATGCTTGCCATAAAAACCCAATAAACATTGCTGATTAATATTATTGATTATTTACAAACTCACTTGCACTTTGATAAAGTGACTGGGGCGCCTGGGTGGCTCAGTCGTTAAGCGTCTGCCTTCGGCTCAGGTCATGATTCCGGGGTCCTGGGATCGAGCCCCACATCGGGCTCTCTGCTCAGCGGGAAGCCTGCTTCTCCCTCTCCCACTCCCCCTGCTTGTGTTCCCTCTCTCGCTGTCTGTCTCTCTGTCAAAATATATAAATAAAATCTTAAAAATAAAGTGATTACTGGGCAGAGAAGAGCACTGGATTAGAAGCATGCACTTGAGGGGCGCCTGGGTGGCTCAGTTGGTTAAGTGACTGCCTTCGGCTCAGGTCATGATCCTGGAGTACCGGGATCGAGTCCCACATTGGGCTCCCTGCTCAGCAGGGAGTCTGCTTCTCCCTCTGACCTCTCATGCTCTCTCTCTATCTCATTCTCTCTCAAATAAATAAAATCTTTAAAAAAAAAAAAAGAAGCATGCACTTGAACCCTGGCTTTACTACTTATACGCAGTACGTGTTTTCCCTGTGCCTCAGTTTCCTCACCTGGAAAATGGGGGTAAGAATGGCACATACTTCATAGGGTTGTGAGAAGAAGGAAATACGATTAACAAAGTGAAATGCATAGCAGAGGACCTGGCCCTTAGTAAAGGCTCAGTAAATGACAGGTGTTGTACATCAAGGTAACAAGAGTCTTTGCTGCATAGTGATTCATTTTGAGTGTTAAAGTAATTCTAGGGCCACCTGGGTGGCTCATTTGGTTAAGTTTTTTTTTTTTTTTAAGATTTTTAAAATTTATTTATTTGACAGAGAAAGAGAGAAGCAGGGGGAGCGGCAGGCAGAGGGAGAGGGAGAAGCAGGCTCCCCGCTCAACAAGGAGCCCGATGGGCTCGATCCCAGAACCCTGGGATCATGACCTGAGTCGAAGGCAGACGCTTAACTGACTGAGCCACCCGGGTGCCCCTAAGCGTCTGACTTGATCTCAGCTCAGGTCTCAGTATCAGGGTTGGGAGTTCAAGCCCCGCATTGGGCTTCACCCTGGGTGTGGAGCCTACATTAAAAAATAATAATAATAAAATAATTCGAATCACAAATGTACATTGAGGTCTTACTATGTGCTGGGTGTTCTAATTGTAGCCTATCCTCATTATTCATGGATTTCATTTTTTGTGTCTGTGTTGTGAATATGCCTACTTGCTAAAAATATTCTGTAACCCCCAAATCAATACTCGAAGCAGTTTCATGGTCATTTGTGGACTTGCACAGAGTAGCAAAAAATTGGACTCACCCAAAAAGCACTTAGTCTATTTGGGCTGCTATAACAAAATATAGACTAGGTGGCTTATAAATAACAGGAATTTATTGCTTATAGTTCTGGAGGCTGCAAGTCCAAGATCAGGTGTCCGTCAGTGTGTTAGGTGAGAGCCCTCTTCTGGCTTGCAGACTTCTCATATCCTCACGTAGCAGAAGGGACAAGCTAGCTCTCTGGGGTCCGTTTGATCGGGGCACCAGTCCCATTCCTGAGGGCTCTGTCCTCATGACCTAGTCACCTCCCAAAGGCCCCACTTTCTAATACCATCACCTTGGGATTAGGATTTCAACATATCAATGTGGGGGGGGGCACACATTCTCACCATAGCATGCTTGTTACCGGCCAGCGTCTAGACAACGCGATAGTCTGCCTTCTTGTTTCAGCTCTCATACTATGAATGTCCTTTTGTGATCTCTATGGGGCCAAGTTTCTTGCAGTTTGTGCTTTTGGTGGATCGTTTCACTGTTTAAGTTGGCCCCAAGCATACTGAAGTGCTTCTTAGTCATTCCTAAGTGCAAGAGGGCTGTGATGTGCCCTACAAAGAAAATAGGTAAGTTAGATAAGCTTTATTCAGGCATGCGTTATAGTGCTGGTGACGCCGAGTTCAATGCTAAGGGATCAACAATAATATTTTTTTTAAAGATTTTATTTATTTATTTGAGAGAGAGAATGAGATAGAGAGATCATGAGGGTCAGAGGGAGAAGCAGGCTCCCTGCCGAGCAGGGAGCCCGATGCAGGACTCGATCCTGGGACTCCAGGATCATGACCTGAGCCGAAGGCAGTCGTTTAACCAACTGAGCCACCCAGGCGCCCCAACAATAATATCTAAATAAGGTGTCTTTAAACAGAAACAAGGTTATATATTGATAACTTTCTTTTTCAATAAATAAGAAACATAAGGTATTGATCAGTTGACAAAAATGTTGTGACTCAAGGAACCTACCCCTGTACATCCCCTAGGGGCACTGGTTCAGAATTCACTAATTCATTGTTCCTGGAGACTTTATAGAATATAACTACCGCAAATACCTGGAACTGATTGTAGCTAGCGTGTATTAACTGTAATGACATGATTACAGTTATCCCATGATATAGTCTTACAGTAAAAGCCCACCACCATGCAAGAAGAGAACCCCAAAAATTTATTTGTTAAAGGCAGGATACCTTTGATGGAGATTAATAAAATGATTTGGGGAAACTATACAGACAGCGTGGAATTCCGAGTATCTCAGGATCCAGCTACTCCATCCTCCTACTCCAGCTGTGGCTTGACTGGCACCATTTGGTGGTGGTTTCCTCATCTGGCCATTCTTGCCCTGTGGCCATGGTGTCTTCCAGAAGAGTATCATTGATATCAGTGATTCCAGTGGCCCTTATTTCCTCAGCCCTCTCTGGGGGGATTGGACAGGAAACCACCTCCCCTTCATGGAACGGAATGAGGTTTCCTACTGTTTCCCTGGGAGCTCGCCCTCCACTCCACGTGCCCCTCTCCCCAAAGATAATAACTTCAACCGCCCCCATTTTGAGGGCTGGGACCACACAGAAGATAGGAGCCAACTGCCAATTGCTTTTATTCAAAGATGTATTATCCTAGGCTTGTTGTCCCCAGGTTTTACTGTATTATCCCCATTGTTCAGATGAGGAAACGGAGGCCAGGGAGGTATCACAGTGATCATCCACAGCCAGTTCATTCCATACTGATCTGACTGTCTGGACCATTTCCTTCTCTTTCCCTGTCATATTGCGTGTGCCCGGGAACATCAACAACTTTTAATATTAACGTAAAAAGCAAGGCATGAATCAGTCTCTGCTATCCCTGCCGACTAAAAATCCCTCTGCTTAGGAGAGATTTCTTTCTTTCTTTCTTAAAGATTTTATTTTTTTTTTTAAAGATTTTATGTATTTATTCATGAGAGACAGAGAGAGAGAGAGAGAGAGAGGCAGAGGGAGAAGCAGGCTCTCCGCTGAGCAGGGAGCCCGATGCGGGACTCGATCCCAGGACCCTGGGATCATGACCTGAGCCGAAGGCAGATGCTTAACCATCTGAGCCACCCAGGCGCCCTTTATTTATTTATTTTTTTTAAGTAATCTCTACACCCAATGCAGGGCTTGAACCCACAACCTCAAGATCAAGAGTTGTGCCCCAGATTTTTCCTCCCTCCCTTCCTTCCTCCCTCCCTCCTTCCTTCCTTCCTTCTTTCCCCTCCCTCCCTCTCTCTCCTTTCTTTTTTTTTCTTTTCTTTTTCTTTCTTTCTCTTTTTTTCTTTCTCTCTCTCTCTCTCTCTCTCTTTCTCTCTTTCTTTCTCTCTTTTTTTCCCTAACAAAAGTAAACCTGTTCTGGGGCGCCTGGGTGGCTCAGTCAGTTAAGCGGCTGCCTTCAGCTCAGGTCATGATCCCAGGGTCCTGGGATCGAGCCCCGCATCGGGCTCCCTGCTCAGCGGAGAGCCTGCTTCTCCCTCTCCCTCTGCCTGCCGCTCCCCCTGCTTGTGCTATTTCTCTCTCTGTGTCAAGTAAATAAAAAAATCTTAAAAAAAAAAAAAAAGTAAGCCTGTTCTGGGCAAAATGGAACCGGTTGTTTTTCCAGGGGCCGTCAAATGGCACAAACTCCCTGGTGACCTCTCCCTTCTGTTGCAGCCTCGTCATGTTTTACTTCATCGCCCTGGCTGGAGCACACAAGCGGGTGGTGGTCCAGCTCCGAGAGCAGCTGTCCCTGGTAAGGAAGAGCAGGTGCAGAGGGTCATGGCTGGGGACATCTACCCAGGACACCTCAAGAAAAGTGCCGCTTTCCCCAGGGAGAGGGTAGAGTGCCGTGGCCCTGCTCACCACCGCTTCCCAGAACTGCCTTCGGCCCAGGCCTTGTCCAGCTTCATTCAGTCACGGGCTCATCCATGCCTTCAACGTGTGCTTTGATCACTGCGTGCTCCTCATACTGTGCTAGGACACAGTGGTGACCGAGAGAGATGAGACTGCTAAATGGTTACAGAAAAACCAATTCCCATAGCGGGAGCCGCTGTGAAGGTCATACGGACGAGGTAGTTAGATGAGGAGCGGCCCTCTGCTGCCGTAGATGGTGGCTGCGGAGGGCCTCTTTGCGGAGGTGACATGGGAGCTGAGACTTGAAGGACGAGCAGCCGATTGTGGGAGGTCTCGGGGGTGAGAGTAATAGCCAGAGGGGACAGCGAGGGCATTCCCAGGAGCTGGACGACAGGTGGCATGGCTGGAGAGGCAAGATGATGCTGGATTATCAGCTGGGGTCACAGCACAGGGTGGGGTTCTGGTGACAAGTTTGGGTTTAATTCTGAGTGTGATGGGAAACCAATGAAGTGTGTTAAGTAGCAGTCTGATGTACATTTCTTTTTAAGATTATTTATTTATTTAGAGAGAGAGTGCGTGAGCCAGCGAAGGGGGAGGGCAGAGGGAGAGAGAGAATCTCAAGCGTACGTCACACTGAGTGCAGATCCCAACTCAGGGCTCAGTCTCACACGACCTTGAGATCACAACCCGAGCAGAAACTGAGAGTGAGATGTTCAACCGACTGTACCACCCAGGCCCCCCATCAGTCTGACGTACATTTTTTTTTTTTTTTTAGATTTTTTATTTATTTGCGAGAGAGAGAATGAGAGACAGCATGAGAGGGAGGAGGGTCAGAGGGAGAAGCAGACTCCCCGCCGAGCAGGGAGCCCGATGCGGGACTCGATCCCGGGACTCCAGGATCATGACCTGAGCCGAAGGCAGTCGCTTAACCAACTGAGCCACCCAGGCGCCCTGACGTACATTTTTAAAAAGACTGTTGGCCCCTTTGTGGACAAGGGGCTGTGGAGGGGCAAGAGGGCAAGAGGCAGACCAGTCTGGAGGCCGTTACCACCGTCCAGTGGTTAGGATCCTTAACCCCGAGTCTGACAGGGAATTGACTAGGTTGAAATGATGATATTTGCTTCCAAATATATTGAATGTGCTCTCGCACCGATTTCTCTCTTTAGGAAAGTCGTGACAAGCGTTACCTGATCCAGAAACTAACAGAAGCGCAGAAGGATATGAAGAACCGACTGGACTGGCAATGAGGATCCTTCCACGTGTTGCTCATAAGCTGACCTGGTGACCTGCCGAGCCTACAGAGTCCACCTGGGTTTGGAGCAGAACTTTTAAAATACATTTTTCTGGAGTTCAGGTCTTCCCTGAAGGTGGCGGTGGTGTTTATGGCACCCAGCCCCTGGGGAGGGCTTTCGTGACTTAGAAAAAGCAGGTTCAAACCAAATGTTTGCCTGTAGACCAGCAGCTTAGTGACTCTCCCCCAAAACTGACTTATTAAGCCGTTTAAGGTGTCAGAACAAAAGTTGAGGAGGGAGAGCCCTTTTGTATTTTTCAAAGCTTATTTGTGTTGTCTTTTACGGTTAACATTAGTAGAGGTCACCCATTCATGAGGCTGAGTTAGTTCTTTTGCAACCAGGTTCTGGGGGTTTAGGCTGAGAAGTGTACCTTAAGAAGTAGTAGCCCTTTTGACTTAAAATGAGACCTGATTTTTTTTTTCATAAAGAGGGATCCTTGAATTGGGATGTTTGGAACAGATGGTGGAAACATGGAGAGGGTGTGTGTGTGATCCTAGCTACCTGGTGATAATATGAGAGAAAAAAGCCATTCCTGCTGGGTGAATAAGCAGTCTCTGAATACCCTGGATGAAGCTTTAGGAGGAGGGGAATGGCTACGGATTGAGGGCCTTGACGTCTTAGCTTCCGGCGCATTTTGCTGTAGCCTTCTTACTCAGGGGGAAGCTGTCTCTACAGTGCTGGGTCCCTTCTGGTCCTGAGTTCTGAGACTTAGCAAAGGGCCCTGGGTCATCAAAATTAAGAGGCAAAGTTTGTCTTTCAAGTCTTCCAAATGCCATTTCCCTCACTGCACTGAGGTTCCCAGCTCTAAAGGACACTAAACATTCCAGGCTGGAAAGGGCGGTTGAGTACGTGCACAGAGCATGGAGCTCCATGGTTTACGTGCCCGACTGTTGGAGGCCGTGGGTTGCAGCATCAGACCGGCCTGTGTCCGTGTCCCAGAGTACACAGAATGCTGGCATCTTCAAGGCACATATCCATATTTTAAGGGCTATTGTTTTGTGCCGAAAATTTTGACTTCTATTTTATAAAATATGCAGAGTATAGCTTCAGGGTTTCCATTACAGCAAAACAAAAACAAAAACAAAAAACAAAACCCATGTGCAATAAATACCTCGTCATAAGCTTACCCGAAATTGATAGCTCTGAACCTTTCAGTATAAGCCTAAATTATTGTTTCGTGTCATCAGTTCTCATCTTAGTATCTTCAGAATCTTTTCCAGAGTACTTCGTTTTGTAACAGACTGCATGAGCCTTTCTTCTGTTGTTTTCCTTCCTTTCACTGGTTCAAAACCTTTTCCTAGGGAGTAGCCTGGAGTTTAAAGCTGGGTACATATTTTAGAAAGCTGCCCCTAAGAGTATTTCCCACCCCCACTCCTACCCTCTATTACTCCAAAATGATTGACTCCTTGCTCTGAGGAGCAAAGCAAGCTTGCCATAGCTTACACATTTCTGTATATTTGCCCCTTTGCCACATCATTTTCTCGCTCTTCCCCAAAGTTAGCATTAACACGGGATATTTATGTACCTGTGAGACCAATGAGCTTTTCAAGCTAATAACTAGTATCATGGAATTTTGAGTAACCAAAAGTTCATTCTGTCCTCACTTGAAAAAAATTCTAATTGGAGTTAGGGACTAATATGCGTTTTTGTCTAGCACACTTACATACATATATGTTTTTGCCTTCACCATGATTCTGAGGACAGTCAAGTTGTGTGTGTGTGTGTGCGCGTGCGTGCGCGTGTGCATGTATGTAAGTGTGTGAGATGGAAGCTCCGTTCTTTCCCTCTTATAAAATTGATACTGATGTATGCTAATATATTCATTTTGGTTAAATGCTGCTGATTTGCATACCTCTTACTTGAATGTTTTTATATATTTTGATAACTTTAATAACTTCAAGTGATGTCTGTGTAATTGTTGGAAGTGCAGGTCTAACAAATGTGCCTTAAAACTACTGATTAAACAGTATCTTGAAGGTTTTAAAGTGTGTTTGTGTATATTGGAATTCATGGAGGTTTCCTGTCAGCCATCAAGTGATCATAGAAAACTATAGCAGTTTGTAAAGTCGCTCTTTGCCTTTTCCTAGAATCACAGAAGTGTTTAATGCAATCATCAGATGAGTGCTTTTAAGACTCCTTGGTTGTGCTGAAGCCAAGGAGGGGTATATGTGTGTGTTTTAAACTGAAAAGACATAAAGTTATTTCAGGCACTCCCCTTCCCATTTCCCACTCCCCAGAGGGAACCACTGCTAATGATGTTTAATTTATTCTCCCAGAAAATTATAATCCATATTCAAGCAGATATATATGTGTGGTTGAATGTATGAAATATATGTTTCTGAGCTTCTCCCTTTTTTCTCCTTAATAACATCTTGAAGATCTTTCCATATAAGTAGCCACCTCATTCTTTTTAATACACACCATTCCATTGTATCAGTGTGTAAGGGTTAGCTCCTTGCTAGATACTTTGTTTTCAACTCACCAACATCCCCTATCCTGTTACAAACAGGGAGAGCTGGAATTTTAAAAGTCCCTGCAAGCCTGTCTCTGTTTCTCTGTTCTGCCCCATTCTCCTAAAGAACAGGTTGTTCTTTATCAAGGCAGGCTTCCATATTCTTGAAATCACAAAATATTCTCATCTTGGCAAAGAGAAGAATCCAGTTAGGCAAGCTTTTAGTTGGCAATATCTGATTGCAGCTACTCACAAGTAAATAATGATGAAGAAAGGAATTAATTTTGCCAGAGTGGAGCTGCAAGATCTGATCCCTGGGAAGATAGGACTTCTGAATGTATCTTTAGATAGGGTATGGCTTTGTTAGTAAATTCCATCTGGTGTATTTTCTCTCCAACGCATGGCGTGCTTGGGACCTGGGATGGCTTTGCTACTTGCTTAATTGTATAATTTTGTACAGATGTCTTCACTTTTCTGAGATAAAATTCCCTTATCTTTAAATGTAAATTAATACATATATTTACTTTTATTTTTGAGAATGGAGTTAGGGACCAATATATATTTCTTTTTGAAATTTTGTTTTTTTATTTTAAAAACACTCATTTATTATAGAAAATACAGAGGACACTGAAAGCTACAGAGAAGAAGTAAAAAATCACACATAAGCACCATTTATGGACATTCACTGTTAATCTTGCCAAGTTCCTTTTAAGATAAAGAGCACAGAGGGAGGATGGGATGAAAAGAAAGAAAAAAATAATGGTATTCTGATTTCTTTTTCACTTACCATGTTTTTTCAAAAGTTCTTTATAAACATTTCAATGGGCTACATAATATCATACAGATGGGTCATAATTTTTAACATTCCTTTGCTGCTTAACATTTTGTTTTCAGATTTTCCTGACAATAACTGGGACATCTATAAATTTTTTTGTTAACGCTTAAGGACAGAGACCTAGAAGTGGGATTACGACAAAGGTTTAGAAAGAACGTTTTAGGGCCTTTGAGAGGTTTACACTCTCAGTAGCTTTACATGAGAATGTTACATCATCCTCGCTTTCACTAAGTATTGGGTTTAAAAAACTATGGAATAGTTCACCATAATTTGAAAGTATTGTAGTTTGTTAGAGTAGTTTGAAAACAACCAGCACCTTTCATAGTGTATATTAAATGTTTTATAGTAACTGGGAAAAACGATATAATCCAAGGGTGTAAAGTAGAAAGTGAAAGATCCCTTCTCACAATCCCAACCGTCTAAAATTACCAATATTAAATGTTTTGTTAAATATCCTTCCAGATATGCATCTTTGATTTTTTCCTTTCATATATATACCCTACACATTTGAAAAATTATTTCTATTGGATAGATCCCTTGAAGGAGGGTTGCTGTATCAGTGGACATGCATTATTTTAAAAATATACAACAAAACTTTTTTCATAAGTCTTTTTTAGTAGTTTTAGAATCACAGTAAAATTGACAGGAAGGTAGAGATGTCCCATATACCCTTTGCCCTCCACATGCATAGTCACCCCCAGCAGAGTGGTACATTTGTTAGAATTATGAGCCGACACACACAGAGTATGCAGGTTATGTTATACGTCCTCTCTCCCCCCACCTATGCCCCCCAAAACAATTTGCACCGATATGAACACCAACAGTAAAGTGGAAACAAACAAACAAAAAAACATGTTCTTTGTACAAAACCTAAAACTAGAAAGAAGATAAAGCTGTTGGCTTTACCTAGAGGCACTACTGACCACGTGGTGAGTTTAATTTTATCATGCAATTTCTATTTTATTTTTATTTTTTAAAGGCTTCTTTTTTTTTTTTTTTAAGATTATTTATTTATTTATTTGCCAGAGAGAGACACAGTGAGAGAGGGAACACAAGCAGGGGGAGGGGAGAGGGAGAAGCAGGCTTCCCGTGGAGCAGGGAGCCCGACGTGGGGCTCGATCCCAGGACCCTGGGATCATGACCCGAGCCGAAGGCAGTCGCTTAACCAACTGAGCCACCCAGGCGCCCAATTTCTACTATTTTAAAGTCGCTGTAGGATACACATAGAGAAAACTCTCCTTCCATGTTGGTAAAGCAAAAAATACAATGGCTGTGCCAATAAAGAATCCCTTCATGATCCTTTTTCCCAGGAATTTACCCTGGCGGGATCTTGAGAAGAGCAATCTAGCATCCTCATCTCCCTCGCAACCCAAGTCTCTTTTACAACCGTCGCTCTACTGAGTGATTGATGGTGATCATATTCAATATCATCTTCTCACTTGCCCTTTCCAGCCAATCGAATGGAAGCGGGGGCTTAGGGGCGTGTCCACCGATGCAAAGACACGCAGCGTATGTCTTACGTCTGCTGTGTCATCAGTCTGCGCTGACCGCACGTTTAGCCCGCCTCGCGCAGTGGAGCTGTTACCTTGTCACGACAATGAGCTGGACCGCGGCGGCGGCGGCGGTTCGCTCCCTGTGGCGGCTGCGCGCGGGCGCCCTGCGGCCTCTCTCAGGTAAAGGAGGAGCGCGGCCGCGTACGCGCGCTGTACCGGCGGGCCAGGGGATTTTCGCCTGTGACCTGGGCCGGAGAGGTCACGGGGGCAGACGTTCATAGACGTCATAAGGCTGCGACGGAGCGCGACTTCGAGGCGTGAACCTTGGGGCGGTGATAGGCGGGGTGGGAACGTAGTGTGTTGGGAGACTGCGGGGCGGGAGGAGCGTGGTGTTCGGCCGGGTGGAGCTGTCAGCTCACAGTCGACGCTCTGTGGATGACATAACTGCACACCCGTGCCGGGCCGTCACTGCAGGTGTGGTCGGCATTCCAGGCTGAGCACAGGTGGCGACCTTGAAAGTTCAGTGCCCTACGGGTGTCATCGTAACCTTCGCTCAGGGCATTGCTATGCACAGCGTGATCATCAGCGGCATGGGCTTGTTAGAAGTGCAGGTTCAAAGGACCCACCCTGACTTACAGGGTCGCTTTGTCTGTATTTTTTTTTTTTTAAGATTTTATTTATTTATTTGAGAGAGAGAGAATGAGAGACAGCATGAGAGGGAGGAGGGTCAGAGGGAGAAGCAGACTCCCCGCCGAGCAGGGAGCCCGATGCGGGACTCGATCCCGGGACTCCAGGATCATGACCTGAGCCGAAGGCAGTCGCCTAACCAACTGAGCCACCTAGGCGCCCCTCGCTTTGTCTGTATTTTAACAAGACCTTCGAAAGACTTGCATGCACTATAAAGTTTGAGAGGCCACCAGGGTGGTGGAAGAAGCATAGAAATTGGATTAGGGAGATGGGTTAGGACCCCCGGTCCTTCTCTGATCCTTTTTTCATCAGAGCTGCCTCAGAAAATTGTTGTGAAGTCGTTTTTTCAAAGCTAAATCATTCGTGTACCACCTAAATATTTTTGTCTTTTAGCAATACCACTTGTACTTCTGATTACTAAATGTGCTTTTTCTACAACCGTGTTCCATTTTTAAATTAAATAATTTCACGGAAACTAAATCCTTATGGTAAAAACGGAAAACCAGTATTGCCTGCCCCTAATAATCAAAAAATAAATGTGCTGAAAACAAGTTAGTAAATTGTATTAGATACTGTTGTCTACCAAGGCCTGAACCCCAAACTGTCTTTCTTTATGTTTTTGTTTTTGTTTTTTTTTTTTATTCATGAGAGACAGAGCAAGAGAGAAAGGCAGAGGGAGAAGCAGGCTCCCAAGGAGCAGGGAGCCCGATGCGGGACTCGATCCCAGGACCCCGAGATCATGACCTGAGCTGAAGGCAGACGCTTAACCATCTGAGCCACCCAGGCGCCCTCTTTCTTTATGGTTTAAAAAAAAAAAAAAGGGGGAGGGATGGGATGGGAGATTAGCAAGTATTAGGAAGGCATTTGTAAACTGAAACATTCTCCTTAATGAAATCAAAGGAATTGTGAAAGAATTTAAAAGAGAGTAACTCTTACTACATGGGTGTATTTAATGCATGTTCATAAACCACTTAAGATCTTCCCATATACCACTTAAAATCTCCTAGGTACCATCATTGGTAGGTGTTTCACACTTTGAGAAAGCACTAACATAAAATGATGCATTTGAGAGCTTCTAGCACTGGGCCTCAACTTTATTTTTACTCAATTTTAAAATGTGTGACAAGGGCGCCTGGGTGGCTCAGTTGATTAAGCGACTGCCTTCGGCTCAGGTCATGATCCTGGAGTCCCGGGATCGAGTCCCGCATTGGGCTCCCTGCTCGGCAGGGAGTCTGCTTCTCCCTCTGACCCTCCTCCCTCTCATGCTTTCTGTCTCTCATTCTCTCTCTCTCAAATAAATAAATAAAATCTTTAAAAAAAAAAACAAACAATAAAATGTGTGACAATGCGGGCAAAACTCAGAGGGTTGTTAAACGTGGCTTTTAATGTTCCTTTGTTGAGCCAATGAGCATAGCAGAATAAGAATCATTCTTTTTCATTTATAAAGTTGCTTGCTTCCTGTATCTCATTTTATCTTTATGATAACTAAGTAAGAAAGGTGTTACTATTGTATGTTTCC